ATGCTTGAGATGGAGTTTATATATATTTAAATATATTATATTTAGATTTAAATTTCTAATTAAATCATTTGCTAAAATTACAAATTATATATTTTTGGGATCAATGATTTAAATATTTTTACCATTTGATGATCAGATGTTTTCGAAAAAATGTACAATACATTTAATATAAATTAAATAGAAATATAAAAAAATATATGTATGTAAGATTTGTTAACTTTTACAACTTTGAAAGTATTTAACTTAACTAATTTTGGTTATACTATATGGTAAAGCTCTTTCTCTCTACGCGTTAAATAAATAAAATGAATTAATAAACTGCAGGTTGTGTGAATGGCTAAACTGGAGTATAAAATTGAATGATACGGAAGGTATAAATAACTTATGCACATTAAGTAAACACGTTATACAAATGAGTCAGTATTTATACTGATAATAGTACACGTTTTATCTTTCAGGCATCTTATATGGCATAATGAAATTAATACTGTATATCTATGCTAAAACTCTTCATTTTCAGACAGCAGATATATTTTTTTCCTTATGTGTACGTGTGTGTATGAGCGATAATAATATATTATAATTGTTGAACAGTGTACAAGGAATTAATAAGACAGATTTTAAAATGAAAAAAAATAGCTTCATTTGGAAAATATAATTAGTTCGATACGATCTGATTATTTCTTCGTTAACTGCATCATATACTTCATCGAAATCATAAAAGAAGTTTGTATTTTTGGTTCATATTTTCAAATTTATTACATTAACAGAATATTATATTACCCACATGCAATCAACATTTGCTAAAACATTATTTATAAAATAGCATTATTTTAACTTAGTAAATTAATTTCTTAGATTTTTTTAATACATAGTTATACGACAGAGAAGAGAAGAGTACACACACTTGACGATTAGTAATTTGATTATTAAGCGTTTGATTAATACACTTTTTTGTTTTTTTTAAAATAACATTTCATTTCTTTTAGATATATTTATTAAATCCTGAAATAGTTACGTATATTTCCGTAACAATGTAAACAACATTTCTACAGAATTTACGATCTTTTAATAATATAGATTATATGTTGTATTTTTATCACGTATATATGACTAATCATTTATTCACGGAAATATTAAATACATATATTGTAATAAAAACAGTTTGATCTTACAAATTATATAGTAAGCAACAATACGGATAAAACAAAAGAAAAAAGAGAAATTGAGAAATTCAAACGAAAAAGAAAAGAATTATTTATTTTGTCATATCTAAACGCAAAGTAGACGTCGTAGCATTAAAGTTAAGTTATTAAATATTTTTCCTCAGTCTTTATTCGTGCTTACAGAATATACGTATTACAGGTAAGAAGGCCATTATTCCTATAATCATTAACAAAGTTTTGAAATTAAAAAGTGGTCGATGGTATGTATGTATACATATACTCTATTTGTAATTTAATATAAAAGATATTATTATTTTTTGTCTTCTGTTTTTTGAAAAGAAAAAAAACATAATTTTTTGAAGAAGAATATAGGAAAATATGTAAAACTTAAAACTAAACTTACCTGATCTTTGTATTAATATATATATATATATATATACTTTTAATTTATTAATTAAAATTGTATGAGATTCGTTACACTACTTTTTCTGTTAAAACAAATTTTTCTCAACATTTTCTATAGATGAGAACGAAATTGGAAGAAACAAAAAGGAACATATTATTGATATTTTTTTCTAACCTTTACATATTTCTTTTTTGTTTTTTATCATCATCATCATCATCTATAATAAAATTATAAGCTATAAGAAAATGTGTTTATACAAATAAACGCATTTTTCAAGAATTTATTATGCATTATTTTGTTTTATATGTATTAATACATATATATGTATATGGAAAAATTTGGAAACGAAACTTCCCTTGACTAGTGTCAGTAAAGGAAGAAAATAATTTTTATTATTCTTGTCAGAGGTATTTGTAATATACAACAAATAGTTCTTCGGGTTATTTCAAATGTTATATATGCAACATTATATACCATTAACATTTAGAGAATACAAAATAATGGTTACAAAAATGAATTGAAATTTGGAATATTGCTTGTAGCGTCTATTCATAGCAATGACACATTATTTTTTCTCATATATTGCAATTTATAATGCATATTATTACTCAATTATTTGTTCCACAATGTTCATTGATCTTAACCAGAGTGGTATTATTAAATGGCACTTTTTACAAATGATAATTAGACTCGTTGAAATAGTTTCTTTTTACACCATTATGATGTGGCAAAATTCAAATCTGTAATTCTTTAATACAATGTATCTCCATGTTCCATGACAATACCCTTTTGAAAAAATTAAAAAATTATTTGTCTCAGAGTATCCAAACATTTCTTAATACAGTTCGTTATCAAATGCGTTTTATCAAAAACGTTGAGAGACTCTGGCATAATGTACTAGTCTAATAAAATAAGGCATATTTGTGTTAAACGCACCATTTATTTATATTTAACTTTCAAATTTTGTCCTGTTTCTTTTCTTGTCTTGCTATTGCACTGCCACCGCATAGAATAATTTCATCCAAAGATATTAAAGCATATAGTTGTTATAATAAATCAAACGTATGATTCTTTTTATTTATTTATTTTTTTTTAAGTAGTATATATGTTTTTTTTTTGTTTTTTTTCTTTTTTTTGGTTTTATATTTCTTCCTTTAATCCAGTACCATTTTTATATAATTAGCATTTCGTCTGTTATTTAATATAGGTTTTCATTGCATTACAAGTAATATGATAACCTCTGTATTCTAAAAAGGATGACAGTGCACATTTTGCTTTTTTTTTTTTTATTTTATTTCTTCATAATCATAAGAAATCAAATGTTTCATTTAAAGTAGTAGTTATATAACTATTTGAGCTTAAAAAAGATTATGTCTCATTGTCGATTCTAAGATTATGTTTATAGTATCATTTTAAGTGTATTAAATGTTGCACAATGAGATATTGTTATAATGTGTTTTATTTTATTTTTTCTTCTCGTATTATTTATTACTTGGTGTCACCTTCTAGTTTCAAATTAATAATTCTATAACAAAAAAAAAGAACTATTATTGTTGTTAAATTTATATTAATCTTATGAGAAATGTGCAGAAATAAAAATTCAAAAAAATTCCTGCTGCCTCTTATGAAAAGTTTGAATTGTATTTTCTTAATAATACAACGACAATGTTATTTTTCAGACATCATTTGATACATAAGATTACTGAAACTTGAACATTTATATGATTAAGATGACACCATGAATTTGTTACTAAAAAAAGAAAATTAAATATCCATAAAAAATGCGATCGCTCAAATTGTTCAACATAAAAGAACTTGAGCTTTATTTTTCTCTTAGAGATCTATCTCATATTTGCTATTAGGCATTCGCGCATTTTGTTTGTCACACGAAATCATTATCTTTTCCTTCTCCATTCTTCTGCTACTGTCCGTAACAAAGCACATTTAAAGAATATGAACCTGGTCCAACATAGCACATTTGGAATACAGAGAGAGAGAGATGATGATTTATTTCATATTATTATTAGATACTTCTGCTCATTTAGATTATAATAGATAAGTGTTAGGTTGTTCACTGTGCAATGAACCAAAGTTCTCAAGGAAGGCATATCTTCAGAAATTTTGATTACTTATATATTCTACAAAGATGTCAATTGTGAATGCTCTCATCATTGATAAAATGACATTAGCTAGGTTCTTGTTGTTTGTAATACTTTGTTGAGAGTTCATATGACACGTATTAATATCTTTATAGTAATGTCTCAATCTCATGCTTGTATATAATACTTTGGTAAGATGATGTTTGTTAATAAAAAGATATGATAAACGAAGATCTTAAAGAAATATAGTTATGACAGTCGAAGAGAAATTATTGAAATAAAAATATGTTTTGTAGGATTTTAGCATAACCATATGTGAGAGGTAGGGGCACACAACATACCTTCCCATAAAAGCTCTGGTTACGGTCTTGTATCAATTTCTATTTTCATCCTATATTAATCTACATTTTTCAGACTGTATTTTCTGGAACAATTTTTTATACAAATACGATATTACAGAATAATAATACAAAGGAGATAGCAGGGTAAGTTTGAAGAATATATAATAGAAACAAAGTATAAATAATTCGGATATTTAATGAAAAAGGATACTAAGTACAGAAAGAAATATTTCGAAAATTATTGTTTTTAATAATAAAGGCAATTATTGGAATAATAAATATAAATATGCTATGTATGACAAAATAGTAAAACATGTTAGTTTATGATTAAAAAATATTTCATGTTGATAAAATTAAAATTTGCCACGATATTTCGTTGTAAGTTATCATTACTAGATAACTTATGTGATATAACAGTCATGTGATTTAAGGTAAAAAATGTTTATTGAAAAAAGTACTATCATATGTTACAAGAACATATTCGAAATAGTTTAGGCAAATTATAAAGAAACGAAATAATATTTTTCGTTACCTTAAACTTATTTTTCTTAGACTTGTTAAAAGACTTATTTCTTGCTTTTTAGATAATACTTTTACAATTAGAAATAATGGATTTATAATTTATAAAAGCATTCTGCAAGCATTCTGTGCTTATAAAGCTTATATGTAAAATTACAAATTATCTCTATAGCCATTGTTAACAATATGTAGTTTATCTACATCATTGTATCATGTACCAATTTTTACTTCATAAAATTATATAACAATAACTAAAAGATACTAAATGTTATTAATATATAAAGATTTATCGGATTCATATGAAAAATTGTTCCGCACTATAGAATGCATCTCAACCTTGGTCTTCAACAGCAATACGTGTCTATTTACTTTACGTGTATATTAAGTTAGAAAGCTTTTGTGGTTTTTACATAAGTTGTTTCCAAACATTGAATACTGAAGTCTCCAAAAAAAAAAAAAATCGAGGATGTGTAAAGGCTTTTTTCAATTTTTATTTCTTAATCAACTTTTGGTTGAAAAGTTGTATCTTTTGTATAACAAACAACGTATGTGTGTGCCTATGTGTGTATGCAATTGTGTATGTCTAAAACTGGGTATTGAGAATTCCATAAACCCAATTCTTCTTGTCTTACATTGCTTCGAAACTTTAGCATGTGTTTTTTTTTTAATATTAGTAAGTAAGTAGATGTTACTTAGATAAAAAGATGTTTTTGTCCGCTGCTGAACTGCTGTTGGTTGGAACTGTGGACTTATGTTTTTTTTACCAATGATAAGGTGTCGATTGGCTAAGCGGATAGTTTGGTTGTGTACGATTAAAACTGAACACAATTATTTGTCAAGGGCAGTGTTGGTTTTGATGGCAATTACCACCTCTTCGCCACAAGCTTTTAGTACAGTGCACTGAAAAAAAATATAATAGAATAATATAATCAATAATGATTTTTACAAATTACATAAATATTATAAATCATTCAATATGTATTATTAATATTTCTTTTAATCAAGAGACCACAGAAATATAACTATATAAACTAAACATTCATTTCAATATATTGTCTTAACAAATGGTCAAAGTTCATAATACTTACAAGTTATAAGTTATTATCATTATTCCATTATTCAGACACATATAATAATAATGAGATTTTAAAATAAACTTTTCTTTATTTATTACCATATTAAGAAATATTTTATTTGTAATTGTAAATGGATTTAATTCAAATATTCCAAAAGTCACGAATAATCATTAAATGTAAAAATTACTTACAAGTAATTCTTTGCCTGCCTCAAAATCAGCACGTAATTGAGCTCCTAATTCACCATCAGGTATTTTAAGATCTTCACGAAGATCTCCGTTATCAGCCATCAGGCATAAGTACCCATCGTCAGATATATCTGTCAGCTGAATTCAGAAGAGTACATAGGATCATTACTATTAATATATATATTAGAACAATTAATAATGATGATGATGATGATGATGATGATGATGATGATGATGATGATGATGATGATGATGATGATATAGAACAATGGTTTTAAAAACTCTTTATTTCTGTTGCAGTTAAAATTATTGTGTAATATTATAAATAAATGAAACAAATAATAATTGTAATGTAATAATAATGACATTATAAGAATATGAATTATTATTACTATACATTGTGCATATTACCTGATAATCTTCTCGCTTAACAAACGGCACATCCATATTATGTGTAGAAGGACAAATATCTTCGTATTTCTTTGAGGTAAATATGTCAATGCCTACAAGGTGAACCTTAGCATGACCATGCTTTCCAGTCTTTGAAGTAGACATCTCCACAATTTTACAGGGTCGAGATTTTAACATGACAAATCCATTTTTACGCAGTGCAGAACATTGCATAGGGTATGTTACTGATGCTCCAGAGTCACCAGTCTCAAAGTGAGTATCTTCGATGTCTGCCATTGTAAATTGTGAAGGTCTATTTGTAAAATAAAAATTGTATTTCTTTAAATATTATTCAATGACATTAATAATTATATCGTCGAATGTTTCTATCAAAATTAAACGTGTTCACTTTATTTTAAATATTGTTCTGATTAAAAATAAAAAATGTAGAATATCTTTTTTAATTGCAAGAATGAGGTGAGAGGAGGGAGTGGTGGTAGAGAAAGAAAAAAGAAACTAATATGATGAGAGGAAATATTTTTAACATGTTTCAAACAAAAGTATTTTACATTTTAACAAGATCATAAATCTGAAAAATGAAAAAAGAAAAAAAAAAGAATGTATTGATGAATACGAATGTTATGAAAATATAATTATTAAAGATTTGTTAAGTGTATCTATCATATATATATAACAATATATAAATGAAAATTATAATATCTTAATTGTTTATCTATTATTTGAGATACATTTAATATGGATATTCTTATATCACTAATCAAGAGAACATATGGTTGTGTTTAAAACACACCATAGTCTTTTGATCATATAGATGAAAAATTGAACAGTAAGAAGACAGAGTTGCCACCATCATGTAAATTTTCAACTAAATATTCTAGGTATAAGCAGCAATTGTCCTTTAATGTAAGCAGTTGAAAAGTAAATCAAGATGGTAGAATTAAACAGATCATACATAGCCGGTGTTAAAAACTATGTAAATAGTAACAATTAATCGTATATAACAATTGTAAGAAAGTTTGAATTATAAAAAGCATAAGAGTGGAATAATGTCGAGCATAAACGGCCATGTGGCAGAACAACGATAAAATCCGGCATTAAACTGTTACGAGTTTGGAATCGAATTTATCGTTATTTTCGTTAAATAGACGTTTTTTCGGCACAACTATCGATTATAAAAATACAATCGATAACGATTTGAATACAATACGATCGAAATAAGTATTTCTTTTAAGAAATATTAAATGCAAGAGGAAATATGTAGGCTAACCAAAGATTGTTTTTGCATAAACGATAGGTCATCAGATATCAGATAACTTATTAAATACTGACACCTTTATGACTAAATAAGCAAAAAAACTGACGAATAATATATTTTTATCTATACTAGTCGCGTATTTAAAGGAAAATTGTGCGAAGATGGCGCGAAAGAGTGTTAGCCACATTGCCAGTAGCCCGTTGTCATCGGCACGAGCAATTACATTTTTTAATTCCCGACGTTTAATTAACACTGTCGCATCAATACGAACCAGCTGATGTTTCACTGTCGAATTCTTAAATTTCTTGAACCCGTTCAGACAATTAGCACCATTAGTTTTCACCGAAATCGAGAACAGCTCGAGATACTCACATGTGATTAAAATGGATACTTTAACCAGAAGATCTTGTTGCGCCTGCGCGCCACGATGAACGAAAGAGGGGTCTACCAAGCTGAAAGCAGGGACTCTAAGCTTCTATGACCGAGCTTGGCATCCGGAAGTGTTCTAAAATCTTCCGGATATTTAAGTTACGAATAAAAGCGTCTAATTGGAAATTTGGAAAATATAATTGTCATTTACATTTAATAGATATTTATAATGGACAATTTGCCAAAACAGTTAAATTTAATTTTATAGTATTTAAATAATTATTTTATCTTTCGCATCCTTCGATTAGATTTTATACGCGAACCAATCAGAATCGAGTACTACATTTCACTAAATAATCTTGCGACATTGTGTTTATATTGTTTATATTATTTGAGCGGTGACTATCGGCTTTTTTGAAAGAATATGCATTGTAATTATATTTTAAATTATTATTATTTTTATTTTTAGATCATTGTTAAAGAATATAACTGACGAATAATTAAATTGACTGAAAGTATGGCTAGTGACACGGAAACCAATAAACATAGTCAAAATCCTTGCAATTTTAAATTTCATGAATTTATTGATGACGTTGGCGAGGTTAGAATTAGTTGTCACATTATACAGATGGAAGATTGTTTATATTTATGGATTGGAGATGCTAAACAGTCTGTCATGAATGATCTTGCTTTTGCACTTAGATCAAATTATGAATCAATACCTATTGGTACAAAGATAATGGGTGCAGTTGCAGATGAAACTTCAACTAACATAGCTAAACGTTTAACAAAAAAATTGGGAAAAGCTGTATATGTTAGTTTTAATTTACAAGCTGATAAAATGTTACTGCTCAAAGTCGAACAAAGAATACAACAAGAATTTAAAGCAAATGAAAAACTAGCAATAATTTAATAAGTTTATGTATTTCAAGTAAATTGAAGCTTTTCAGTAATACAACGGTATATATATGTTTACAATTTACAATTTTATAAATTAAATAAATCACGTTAATATAATATAATTATTTTAAATTTGTTGTCAATGCAAAATAATATTTAACTATTTTCTTATTTATATATATTTAATTCATGAAGCATCAATAAATCATTATATATATAGGATTTTTCTCCTGCAAAATTTTACCAGCATATTCTATAAGTAAAAATAAAAAATAAGAAACTAGTTCGTTGTCATTTCGTATTTGTTTTATAACTTATTAATAAAGTATTTAAAAGTCTATTATATTTTGTTCTTATGTTTAGTTATAGAATATGCTGGTACAATTTTATGGAAAGAAACTGGGATACCCTGTAATTATATAAACTTCATTTTTACAGATGAGTTTATTTAATAATTACTTAAACTGAAATTTGATTACACTTAAATAAAGCTATTCTCATAATAATAAACCACATAAATAAAGAAATGGAGTCTTCTTGAGTAGTTGGCCAACTTAAAAAGTAATTAATTGGCCATAATGAATCCTTTGGTAGTCTCACCACGGGTTCATTATTATACATGTATAAAAGAATCATTATTAATATGCCCTTAAATAAATATAAATATATAATTAGGTAATGTACTATAAAAAAAAATAAGATTTGTTAATTTCTATTAGTAGGAAGGATATATAGATAATGTAATTTGTAATTTAGATTGTTAATACGTTAATGATCAACACTTAAATTTATCACAAATATATAATACTTACACTGATAATACGAAAGCCATAAGTCATCATAAATCTTGCTTTTTTTCTTTTAGATAATCTCCATTTATCTAAATATGATATAGATTGTTATATATTTATTATATATATACATATATTAATTTAACTCATTAATATATTTCTTTACCTATTTGATTTAGCTGACTTTCCAGTGAGTTAGATTTTCTCTGAAGTTTAGCATATTTGGAAAATTCATCTACCATTGAAATACCTGCCATTTCTTGTTTCATTTCAACATATTTTTTACGTAATTCAACTTCCACTTGTTTTTTTGCATATAAATGTGTTGTAAGCTATGAATAAAGAAACATTTTATGGTTAAATATACGAACAACAAAATGATGAAATCCAAATATATTTAGAGGTTTGATTTCTACTGTCAATGTTATTATTTATCTTATTGATAATGAACTATTTTCTAATTATTCATTTAATACTTACATAAGTTATTAAAATTGGCACTATATACTCTAAAATGCAAATTAATGTTGATATCAAAATTAAATTCATTTTACAATATATTCAATTATATTGATTTTAAAGATAGAATTCTGTCAATTATTATATATATATATATATGTATATTTGTTTCCGTTTCAATTATTTTTGGATTAATAAGAAGAAGATAATTAGATATATTTTATTTAAATTGTGTGTGTTTATATCTGACGATGAATGATCATTGAAGACTTGGTACAACTATATTAAAACGTTATTTTCATTGGTTCCTTTCGAATCTAACCAACGTATCAAACATCGTCATAGTTAGCCGCCATATTGTAAATTGGCGCATAGAATTAAATTTGGTGTAAATACAAGAACTAGTGCATGCATACGTCGTGCGCCACATGGTGCAGTGCATATAATATTTTTTAAGTGTGTATTTTGTTTATATTTATTACAAAATGAGTGGCTCAGATATTGATTATGATACCGATCAAGAAGTATCAGAATCTCATTCTAAACTCCTGGAAGCAGTGGCACAACTAGATAAAGGACAAAAGTAAATATATTTATAGGTTATGTTTCATTATTAAGGTTATTATTGTATTAAATAAAATATTTTTTAATTGTTCATTGTTTAGTTTAAACTATTACATGTATGTATATATATATTTCATAAAAATATGTACTTTGTTTTTCAGAGTTAAGAAGCCGGAAAGAACAGAACCAACGTTAGAAGTATCAGAATTTCATTTAGTTAAAAGTGGAATATCCGATAAAAATGCAGTATCTGTTAAGAATTTAGTAAAATCGTTAGGAAATAAAGGATATCAAACAGAGATAAGCAAGAAATTTAATGCAGTTCAAAAAAAGACTAAAGTTCTTCCTAAGCCATTAGAAAAACCTTCTGCTGATCGTGTATGTGTGTAGAATAATGTTATATAATTATTTTTTAATTATTCATTATTGTTTATTATACATAATTCACATTGTTTAATAGTTGGTAATCAAAGTTTATTACTTTTAGATTAAAAGAGTGGTCGGATTTGAAAAGACTCAAAAAGAAGTAAGTAAATGGAACGGAGTAATATCTCATAATAGAGTTGCAGAAAAGGTATATTTTCCTTTGAATAAATTATCTAATAAAGCGGACTCAGTTTCTAAAATGGTTAAAAGATTTACACTACAATCAGATTTAGAAAAAAAATTAGCGGAATTAAAACCAATACCAGAGCCAGAAGAAACAGAAGAGAAAGAAGATAAAGTTGCAATGAGTTTGGAAGAAATATTAGAAAGGAGAAAAGAAGCTGCTCACATGAGAGCTTTACAGGTAAACAAGTGATCGCTGTTATCAATTGTATAAATTCAGAAATTTTATTGCGAAAAAAACAAATCTTATGCTATTTTTTTATTATTAATTTTTAGTCTTATAAAGAAGCAAAAGCACATAGACAAAAAAGGATTAAGAGTAAAAAGTTCCACCGTGTTCAAAGAAAGGAAAGGATTAAGCAACAAATTAAAGAATTTGAGGAACTACAAAAATCAGATCCGCAGACTGCTTTAGAGAAACTATCGTTGCTTGATAAATCCAGAGCAAAAGAACGAGTAACGTTAAGACATAAAAGTACAGGTCAATGGGCAAAGAACAAACAAATAAGAGCTAAATATGACAAAGAAACGCGTCAAGAACTTGCTCAACAATTGTCCATCGGTAGAGAATTGACGCAACATCTGAAGGTAGCGGATGATAGTAGTGACAATGATGATGATGATAATGATGGTGATAATGAGAATACAATGTCTTTCAAACTTTCTGATACTACAAAAGAAAATCCATGGATAAATGAAGTTAAAACTGAAAATGAAATTAATGACTTTATCAGCAGTTACCGCAAATATTGGGATGCAAAAAATTCAGAATCAAATAAAAAGGGTCCTATTTCTGATCAAGTAAATAATATATCTCAGAAAAGTAATACTGAACGTAAGCAAAAACAAGGTAAAGAGTGAAAGGGATATTTATTTTTTCAAATAAATTTCATTTTCAGTACGGTTTAATAAAAAATACTTTATTCTTTACAGATAACAAGACTGTTTCTTCTAATAAAGAATTAACTACTGAAACGAATAAATTACAAAAGAATAAGAAATCCTTAATTACCAATAAAAAAGTGGAAAGTGAGTTTAATGGAACGCTTGATACAAATGGATCTTTAAAAATCAAGAAAGTAAACAAAAATAATAAAGTGTTGAAAAAAATCGCTGCTACATCTGCTTGGAGTGTAGAAGATTGCAATGAAACTGTAATTTTTGATGATATAAAAAATAGCTCAATATCGCCAGTTGAGAAAATAGATGATATGTTCGATTTAATGGAAGATAAAATGCAAAAACAGATTCGTACGCGGATAAATCGTGTTAAGAGCAAATTTAATATTGATGCAGAAAAGGAAAATCATAACGCTGATGAATCTAACGTTGACGAATCTAACGTTGACGAATCTAATATTGAAAAATTAGAATTTAAAAATAAAAGTCAAAAGCCAATCTTGACTAATCCTCTGGAAGAAGTAACTAAATCTGCAAAAATATCCAAAAATAAAGATATAATGAAATTGAAAGAGTTAGCAAAAAGTTTAGATAAAACAACTGTTGATGTATCAAAAAATAAAGATACGAATATAGATCCAAACAAATACATTAATGTAAAACCTAAACATTTAAAAACTGATTTACCAAATGTTATCACTGGTGGAGACGATGCTTTAGACGATAGCGAAGGTGAGGAAGAAAGAAATGACATAATAAGTGAAGCTTTCGCAGACGATGATGTGGTCGACGAATTTAGGAAAGAAAAAGAAGAGGAGGTATGTATGAAAAGAACAAAATTAAAATAAAATGAATGTACATACAATAAAATATTCATATTTATTTCACATTATATATTTGAAATATACGAATTGAATTATAGATTAAAAAATCGCAACCAGAGGATATTGATCTTACCTTACCAGGATGGGGATCTTGGGGTGGAACAAATATAAAACCATCGACCCGGAAAAATAAACGATTTATTATAAATGTACCAAAAGAGGAAACACGTAAAGACGAAAATAAAGGCGATGTTATAATAATCGAAGACGACCATGCCAAAATAAGGGAACATCAAGTAAATGAACTACCATTTCCATTTTCGACAGTTCGAGATTTTGAAGCTAGTATCAGGGCACCGATCGGACGAAATTTTGTTCCGGAGAACGCTTATAAAAAATTCATCGAACCCTCTGTACAAACGGCTCTGGGAAAAATAATTGATCCTATGGACGAAAGTGTACTGGTTAATAAGAAGATTAATAAGAAACGAAAAAATGACAACGAAAACAAATCAATTATACCTATTAATAAAAAGAAAAAATAATTGTAAAATAGGTAATAAAATTCGTCTAATGAGAATGCATAGGTATTCTATAATTTTGTTTATAGAAATATTAAAATATTAATAGGAATTAATTAAATATAGGAATGATGAATATTATTCAGTATAAATGCAAGATGCTTCTAAATATGTGACTGTAACTTCAGAGCTGGTTTCGAATACGTCTAATTAAGAGACGTCGAAGTAATAAAATAATTTTATATAATCGAATTACATATAAAATGCAATAATACATAGTTTTCGTTATACGTTTACTATTCTAATTTTTATAATTTAAACATTTGCGATAACATAAATTGATATTGTATAATTTTTCAACTGACTATGTTAAAACTATTTACTTGGTATAATTTTACCAATACTTTTCTATGAAATATTTTCCGTAGATATACAGGCAGTTTCAGATTGACGATTATTACACCAAGTCACGTAAGCATACACACACACAAACTCACACGATAATTACAATTCATTTTGTAGAATATTATTTTTTCAGATTACTTTAAAAAGTAAAGTGTACATTTATTAATCAGATTTCGCATTTTATGTTAAAAAAAATCGATTTCTAATAAATATATTAGATGAAAAATATTATATATACATATATAAAATCAATTTTGATGATCCTCCGGGAACGTGGAACGGTTTGAACTTTAAAATACTGCACGTTCAATCTATTTCAAACTCGAACTTGAACTTAGTTAAACCACGTAATCTTATTTTCACGAACGGCAGCTCAGGAAATTAGTTATTATGGATAAGCGAGAAGCTTCGTGTATATATGTACAATAAAAAAATCAATTTAAATATACACACACATACACAGACATACAAAGAAATATTTTCCATTTAGATTCGTATGCTACTATTACTTCATAAAAGTGTAAATAACGTTTTATTTTCTACGATAAGATCCTCTGATTCATTTTCTAGTTTTAGATCTAATTTCGAATTAATTATAAACATTCGACTGAACCCGATTACTCATAGGGGCATTTGTATTAGTGGCAAGTTTCGCGCTTTATCTATCGAACAATCAAAATCGTAATATTCGATAGGAGGGAAAATGAGATAAGTTTGTAAAACCAGTTGTGTTTGTGTGTGTGTATGCATGCTCAATATTTTCAAATGTATATAGGAAAGATCGAAAAGATATAAAAAAATTATTAAAAAAAACTTTCCCCATGAAGGGATCGAACACTAACTAGCAGCACGAAAAGCGAGAACGCTACTACTTACTTGTATCGATATCTATACAACTTGTATACAAAAAATTGAAAACTTTAAAAGTATTTTTCTCAAAATTGGCTTCGCATTTTGATAAAATACTTTAGCACGTTAACACCCTAAAGGTATATACTACTAATATAAATTCGTAAAATATAAACTCGTTAAAATCCATGAGGGCACAACCGTAAGGTCTCCTTGTTAGTCAACTTTTATATACAAGTATTACATGAGTGAGTTGAAAAGTTTTGAGCCTAACAAAAAGAAACAATTTGTTTTCTTTTTTTTGTCGATACTTAGAACTTTTCAATCCACCTTCATATATATATAAATTTGTTGTATTTTTACAGTTATTTATTGTTAAAATTCATTGAAATTTTCTACGAACAAATTATATTATCCCGTTAACAATCATCGACGCGCAAAACTATAAGCAATTAGCTGAGTAAGAATAAAACAAACTAATGTAAGTTGAGTAACGAGTCGGAGGGATAATGAGGATGGTTTGCATTAGTGTGAAGGTGGTGGTTATAGGGGGTATACATTATTGAAGGCGCCATTTACGTGGGAAGTGGGTAAAAGGGGATGAACTGAAAATCGCGAGGGTTGGTTAGAATTATTATCGCTATCCAAACTCTCGGCGCCAGGCTGTCAGTTAACACAGGTCAATGCAGATGTAAGTGTACGTTATATCTATGCATGTATGTATGTATGTATTGAGAGTGGAACACCACGAACAACCAAGTTTACCTCGCATATTCGTTAGTTAGTTCTTCCAGTCGTATACGTAGGAACGCGAAGTAAAACCAAACTGGCTCATTGTCAGTTAAAAAAATAGCTGACTAGTAGAATAAGTAACAAAAGAATCGGGGTAATATTTGAAATATTATTTCACGATTATTAAAATCATTTTAAAAAGAAAACAAAAATAAGCCTTGCTTTTGTGTCGCTCTTAATATTCAATAATAAATTTTAATTGAATTCTAACAATAGGTAATTCGATTACCTTATTATATAATAGAGAGAAGAATAATGTTCAATTTTATTTGATAATTTCTCCAACGAATTACAACGATATTGATAACAAATAAGTTTGATTAAAAAGAAGAAATTGATTTTGTTAATTAAGGATATATTTCACGTGGATAATAATAACATGGGATTTCAATTTCGAGAGTTAGTTTAAACAAATTACGTTACACGCAATATACGAGCAAAGGTATATATAACTTTTAACAACGACGTATGAACCAAATATTTAAGTAACTTACATCGTTCTTTTCTTTTTAATATTTATCGTTCAAAGTTTTTTGTTTTTTTCTCTAGTATAAAAAGACGACACTAATCGTCAAGAGGAAAGTGTTCGATATACCGAGATGTTTATTTCCGTGTGAAAAATGATTAATAGTTTTCCCATAGGGAGAAGGAGGACCATGGGAAAGTTTAAAACGAGACTTAATCACGAACACAAATAATCCGGTTTAATAATTTATTTTCACATCGGTTTGTTTAAAAGGATTCATTTATCTGTCTATCTTCCTCTATCTTTTTTGTTTTGTTTGTTTTTAATTCGTCACGCACGAAGTGTCGAAAGGGTTTCGATCTTTACGCTCGAAGGATGACAAATAACGACCTCGTTTTAATACGAAATTAGATTTATCATCTAATACAAAATAATACATTTTGAATAATCGATCATATTGTGTTTATTAAACGAATCTGGTAAATCCAAAATTATTTTACATTAAATGCAAATTAACAATATATTAGGGTGAACCAAAACATATAAAAGTTATTTTATATTGACTTGAAAAGAAAAAAAGAAAAAGAAACAATACGAATAAACGCACGAACATTTATTTGGTTCAGCCTAATAATTAAATTAGCAATCACAGATAAATAAGATTGAAATTATCAAGATATTTCTTCAACAGATTACAAGATTGTAATCTAAAATTGTTCCCTTTTAATAATCCTTTTTTCGTGGGTGGATATTTTTAATATTTGTAATAACAACTCTCAATGGAGGAATCACGGACAACGAAAACAAACGAACAAGTACTCACTATGTCAGATTCTGTGTCTGATGCTAGCACGAGTACAATTACGCCGACATCAGGATCGTTTTCAGGCAAACAGCAATACGATACTATTCCAAAGAAGCCAACTTATTTGAGAGACAGAGGTATGCATTAATCCTGGGAAAATAATATTCTATATTTAATAAGTTTAATTATATAATATTCATATATTATTAATATTAATTAAATATCAAATATACGATTTTGTTAACGTTTCACAATGTAAAATAGAAAAGATCTAATTACATGATCTATCTGCCGAAATATTATCTTCTTCATTTTTGTGTTGTATTTTTGTTTGTTTGTATCGATCATCGTTGAAGAATCACATTGATGAATATTTCTCGAAAGCAAAGAAAGTATCACTTGTTCTTCGGTGATTCGTATGTAGATATTTAGTAGGAGGAGGATGTCGTTCACGCAACACTGCTTTTACTCTTTGTCCCGTTTCCGGTATCGGTCTGTAAAGAAACGAAAGTCTTGCATAGTTTAACGAACAACAAAGTGTAACTTATTTTGCGTTCCTTACGTACTGGCGTAACAACTATTTCTGATTCTAATCGTTTACTGTTCTTCAATACTTTTTTTTTTATTGTATGTAATGAAGTATCGTTTAGGAAAAATACCGGAAACGATTTAGAACAGATTTAATAGAAGATTATATCAACTATTTTATAAAGGGAATATTCATTTTTATTCACAAATATATTATATATTTTTGATCATTCTCTCTTATATATATTTTAATTAAATTATATAACAATTATTTATATAATATATTCTTAGCATTCTCTTATATATAAATTTATAAACGCTGTGTGTTTTATCTTTCTCTTTGAATAATTTTAACATATGATTATTTAAATTTTGGTTTTTTTCTCACACGACCTTGAGTATGAAAGGTGAATGGTTAAATTCTAAAGAAAAATCGATCGATGGTTTGGTATAGTTATTCGAATGTTTCTCGAAGGAATGCAAATTTAGACAATGTGTTTGTATAAGTAGGCATACGTATGTCCAGATATATCAAAGATGGTGTGCAATCGGCGAATGCAGATGCTTGTTCCGACGTTAGATTCTTAATACGATATCTTGATTGCACGCGAGCACGCGATTATGCGAGTAAGCGCCTTAGACGAGTGTTAGATCACGCCAACCCTCTTCTTCTTTCGCATAATCTTTCGAATTTATATGAAAAATATCAATTGTCTCTGTTTTACACCCTTTTTTCTTCTTATTCTTCTTTCTTTTCTTTTTTCTTTTTCTTTTCGTATCGTCAAAACACGTCATTGCATCTCTTTGTTCATTTTTCATACTTCTGAAGTTATTTTCTTTCTTTTTCTTTTTGTTTTTCATTGTCTTCTTCGTTCGAAACAATTTATCACCAACACGTAATTCTTTTTTTTCTTGTTTTGTTTACAGACAATAAATTATTTATAAGCGATTTATAAGCGAACAAAAATAATTTCGGTTTCTTTTTGTAATAATTCTTTTGTATAATAAATTATTACAAAAATATTATTTACAACTGGAAGAGAGTCACACATTGGAATAAATGTAACGATAGTTATTTTTTCTTGTAATATTTATTCGTCCGTACGGTTTTTTTCGTTTAATAAAACTCACACACACCGAAAAATAAAAAATACACGCGTGCATTTCACACGCGGTAGAAATGAAAATTTTAGTAAACTAAACTTTGAGAAAATGAATTTACATTTTATATTACATATACTTCATTATATATTACACATACTCAACCAAGTTTTCAATTTCAACAAATGACACGCTTTTTATTCACAATAGAATCATCAGAATTTGATCGTAATCTTTTTTAAGAATTTACGATACTTTTGAAATAATTTTATTCAATTCTCGTGGATGATTTATTAATATAAATGTTTGTTCTCATTTCAGTGTTGGTTTTTCGGTTTCGTTGAGTTTCAAATCACAACGATATTAAAGAAATTTTAACTTACAAAAAAACTGGGACGAATATAATGTTACAATGCAATAATATATGATAATTCAAACTCTGTATATATATATATAATAGGACACTTATACTTAAACGTAAAAAAGGGTTATTTAAATCTATCGTAAGAATAAAATAATACATTACGTACCTAAACGAGAATCTTTCCACATGAAATTTCGAGTTACGTACCAGTTGGATGAACATACGTATATAAAAAATATCTTATTATTATAACAAAATATCTATTAATAAAATAAATAAGTAATAACAATTTTGATCTTATCGATAAATTGATTTGAAAAGAAACGATATGTATGGACGAAAGAAGAAAAAAAATAAGCAAATTTATCTAATTCAATTATAAATAGGATAAATTATGAAAAGTTAGTTGACAAAATTAGGGAAAAAAGATGACGCGACCGCACCCGTGTCTAGATCGAACTATACTAGCAAGTATAAACGGATCTTATTAGGGTGGTTCGAGCTAGTACGATAAAAATATGTATGCATACTGTTAGTGTATCTGTGTGTGTGTGACTTTGTTAAAGCAAAATTCCAAGCTAGATCGTATTAGACAGATAGACGTTAGTAGGGCATTTCTATCATTTTCAAATATACCTAATTGTTAGTCTATTTGGACATACGAATTGACACGTTTCGTGTGCTCCACCCACTTTGAAAAAAGTTCTACAGTCAAAGTGTCTATTCAATAGACAAAATTGGTGTTGTATAAAAGGGACATGCTCTTTCATTCGATATCCAATTGATATTCGATAACCATCGGGTGTGCTAGTACTGGCTGACACAAAACCTTAGGAATTCGTTTGAATTTTTACGCATTCTCCAAGAAGAATTTTCGTTATATGCAAAGTAATGTTAGTGGAATACGTGATCATTGCAGATTTAGATTCCATATTGTAGTAGGTGTATAACATATATACATATATACATATATATATATATATCAAAGAAATGCACGTAAAATCTCTCAGTTTCGGTTTACTTACGATCATCGAAGGAAGGTTCTTCCAGATCGTATACTTAAAGTTTCAAGAAAAATATATTAATCAAATAAATTATTGAGGAATGTTACTTTCAACGAGGGCAGCTCGGTGTGCAGCACTTATGGCTGAACCGGATGAGCTTTATCCAGGTTCCCAATGTTAACTATTAATGATTAGAATGGGATTTGTTATAAAATTATTAACACGGAATAAATTTTCATTAATTTATACGTATTTTTGTGTTTTGTTTTCAGAGAGGATTATTTATCCAAGAAATACGAGAACGTTACCGAAAACAATAGTATCTGGTGGTACACCTATTAACGAGGAAACTTGTATGGTAATATGATTCATGAAATTTTTCATTTGTCTACAAATAATTTCATTCATTATAATTTAATTAATATTTAACAATAATATAAATAAATAATTTAATATTATATCAATATGTGAATTATTTAAAAAACATTTTAGATGTTGAGAACATTGATATTTGGTAGCTGTGCTTGTCCACCTAGAGCAGAATGGGCTAGAACAGGCTTGACCTTAAGACCTTATGGTCAGAATTTAGCTTTTGGATTAAGAACACCAAGGAATACGACTAGAGGTCTCATTACCGCGGTTCAAGCTATCATGTTGAAACATTTTTTATTCAAATGTAACACCCAAGACAGTCGTATAAGTCCGGACATGTGAGTATTATTAGGGTGAATCAAAAAGTTCGTGCTTTTATTCTATTGCCTCAGATAAGTGCAATTGTTTTTTTCAAGTCAATCAAATTATTTTATATATTCTTGTGAAATATTAATAAAGAAAACAAGAACTCACGAACTTTTGGTTCACCTTAAACGATACAATACAGGTAACCCTTCTACAATATGGTTTCGTTCTAACAAGGATCCCCTCACGGATTTTAACGAGCTTTGGTATGGTAGTAGTATACTAGTAGGGTGTTATCGTGGTAAAGTATTTCATCCTAACGCGAAGCCAATTTTGAGAAAAAAGCTTTTAAAGTTTTGATTTATTTGTAAACATGTTTATATTATTTTAAATGCAACATATTTCAAAAGTAAATTATATTCAAATAACGACGCGAAGAAATGATGAATTTTAAGTTATATTTTATAGAAGGGTTAACTGTATTTCAAATGGAAAATATAACGTATCATCATTATGTTTAACTAAGCGTTATTTTTTTGTTTGTCCTCGTAGCTTACTGAAACCTTCCTATGACAGACAAGTTGAAGTCCTGTGCCTTGCGATATCAGAAATAATTTGGCGTTGCGCCGGTGGTTTCGTTTCTGTTAACAATCAGAATAGCAGCTGCAGCAACCTCGATACAAAAAGTGTCAGCGTGCCAAAGGCAATCGTTGCATTACCACAAAAGACACCCTATCTGCAACATAGCGTGCAGTATTTTCAGGATGGTTTGACGGAGACAGTACGCCTATTCAAATCACCATCCACCCCCCTATCACCACCAACACCACCACTACCACCTCATATACCTACTCTCATATACTTTTTGACGTATACATTTTTTCTCGATTCTTTTTTTTTCTTTTCCTTATTATTTTTTTTCTCCTCTTATTCGTACTCGAGAATTTCGTCGATTGACCTAGGGGAAAAAAAAGAACAAGTAAAAAAAAAATGCTTGGATCGTTTATCAAATGAGTCGTCAAGACGTATTGTCGGCAACGTGCCAACCCATTCAAGGATGTCTTTATTGCTTTTGCATTATGATTTGTGTTACGTTAATAAAGTCTTGAGTGTAATACAAATTTTATCTTTAATATTAGGCTTTCAGATTTCTTAGGATTTTATAATACTTAACGGTATATTCGAAATATTAGCCTTAGGGATTATTGTTAGAGAGAGGGTGGGTGGGTCGTGGGGGATGAAATAAAATTGATCGATGAATATATAGTTGGAAACCGATTTTTTTCCCCCTCGGGGTTAAGGTCGTGGCCAAGTTTTTGATAAGCTATTTTAACATATATTTCCGTTCTCTTTTCTTTTCCAGTTGCATCTATTCGAGTTCACCTCAATAGAAGATCTTCAAATATTCATCAAGAGGTACTTATACTTGGTAAGTACTTTATATAATTTATAATGTTTCTTTATTTTTAAAGTTACGAATATATTGGGATAATGAAAATAAACGAATAAGAAAGATTATTGTTAAATAGTTTCAGGACGAAGGTGGACCAGGCGCAAAATTGTTAATTTACAGTGCAGTTTTATCGAGAGGTTTAACTAAGTAAGATTACCATTTTGAATTTATTTATACGATTCAATCTATAACATTAATTTACAAAATTTAACATTTCATATCTGTTGACGTGAATTTTATGATCGATAATGTTAACACAATTGTGATCCTGTTTTTGTCAAATCAAACCTCAAAAATTTGTGTTCAACTTGAGATATTGATTTTGATCATTTACGCGTATTTTTATTAATCGTATTAACGTGCGTATTTTAATATGTGTAAGATTAATATCTGAGGAAAAAAGAGAAAAAGAACTGATAAAAATTATACTATTTATAAGAAATATTTGAAATCTGTATAACATATAATACCTAAAATTTGTTCGGCAACAAATGTACTGTAAACATAAGTGATAATCGTGTGATCGAACATAATAATAACGGGTGATCGAATAAATCGTGAAAATTGTATCCGTACAGTTAAAACGATGCCGAATGAAAAGAAAAATAGTTTTGCACCGGTATTTGTGTTCGTGTTTTCGTGTTCATTCGAAGCATTTGCTCGAACGAAATGTGGAAAATAATTCCGCTAGTTGAAAAATTACGCTCGTCAAACTAACGGACGCACACGCTCGATTCGGTCCACAGAGTTCAAAACGACCTGGAAGATCAAAAAGCTTCTATACTAAGCGGATGTCCTGAAGAGGGACCGATCAGTGTCGTGGTGTTTATGTTAACCGGGCGGGCGTCTCCTCATCTTCATAACGGTGTTATTAATGTCGGGGATGAGAATACTTACGTAAATATATACATATATCAAACGATTAACTCGTATTATTTGATAATTCAATTCATTTTCTCGTATATGCATTTCTCGTATCGTGTATTCTCATGTCATATGATATGTAATCATTTTTAAGGCTGTACCACAATGGGGTATTCTCGTAAGAAGCGAAGTTGGTTTTTTAATTCACGAGGGTGATGGTCAAACTAGCAAAGTACCTGGTTCCAGATTAAAAACTCCAAGTTTACCGATATGGGTTACTTTATGTCATGGTCATCATGGTGTTCTATTTAATACTAACAAGGAATTGTTAAGAAATTATCATGCGGAAAGACGGTAATTATTATATTATTATGGTGAATCCAAAATTCGTCCGAAAACAAATTCTATTTTGAATTAATATTTTTTCTTTTTTTTTTTCAATTAATATTTATTTGAATTTAAATTTAGCAAAAATGAACGATACATTGTGCAAGAAAATAATTGACTCATCCTAAAATAAAATGATAGTATTCATTTATTTAAGATATATTTGTGTTGTGTTGAGATATAAATGAAAGTATCATTGAATATTGCATTCAAAGATTCGAGGTGCAGTATTTCGCTTGTGGTGGAAGTCATGCAACATTGACCGTTGATACAAGGGCTAACGAAAATGCATCGGGTGTTGAATCAATGAGCAAGGAATCCATTGATATAGCTGCTACACCATTGGAAAAACTTATTCGTTCTAAGTAAGGATTTATATATATTCAAAATGATCACGATTCAATTTAATAATATGTTTTAAATATCGTAACCAATTGATTTTATGTTTTTTAAAGATGGCAGGATGCACAAATACAATGGAACGGTGCACCATTGATGTAATAGTTCATTCTAATTAAATTTGAACTATTTTATATTAGATTTCGAATAAAGTAAAGTCCTACGTTTATTTTGTTATAAGGTATGTCAATTTTTATTATTTTACAAAACGTGTCAGAGAAACCGTTTGAAAATATTCGAATGAAAATGTTTTATGAAAACTGGAATCGCAGAATAATTTTGTATTCACAGAAATCGTTTATTTGCGAACGTGGGATAGGAAAAAGCGGATCGTTCCATTCCGGGGATGACAATTCCCGTAGCTCATCGTCGTCGTTGAACCGTCTCGAATCTTCCATCCGTGAAATCGACAAGTATGGTTCTTTCATATCGTGAGAAATAACTATTTTTACGTTGTACTTTGAATTTGCATCTTTATCTGGAAACTGGTATTATTCGATGGAACTAGCATCCAATATTTTGTCGAAATATATTTTTGATTAAATGCCAATATTTATGATAGATCTACTTTTGTAACGGGGGTTTTTGAGGTTATACTTCTTTTGGCGCGTTTTGGAAAGTGAAGTTAGATGCGACCGAAAAATTCGACACCAGGAAGTTGTCGATATTTACAATGCGCGGACATATTTAAGTTATTCTTGAGGTTATTAAGGTTATATTCGTTTTGGTACGCTAAAGAAGTAAAGTGAATTACATTAGAATAACATGTATTACTAATATTATATATATATATATAGGGGCATAAGTCGCTTTTTTATTTTTTTTTTTAAATGAAAAGATACCGTTCAATTGTAATTAGTATTACCATTAACTCGATTTTTTTGAAAAAGTGACTTATGCCACTTTCAAAATAAACGGCTCATATATTATTATTTAACTATATAGATGATTAAATCATTTATTTTATAACAGATTACCTGTTAATGTAATGATAGTATTATTATCACGATACTATAATATTCAATTAATACATAAATGTAGTATGTGTAATACGTAATAACATATTGTATCCTACTATTACTTAAAATAACAGTGTATTACGTGTTCTGTAATAGAATTGAAAATAATAATACATATATAATCCATAAATGTTAAAATTGAAAAAAATTAACTTAACGTAAGAATCGTCAAAATTCAAGTCAAAAAAATGTAAATTTACATGACCCATCCGTTAAATGTTAAAGATAGGAAAGAATTGTTAAACAAAATGTACAGTTTTAGAACCTTCGAGGAAAGGAATCACGTGCAATAATTGAGCGTTACATCGAAGAATAAGTTACGTGTGCAGTGTACTATAAACAGAATAGGTAAAGGTAAGCTATCAAAAAAAATGGGTGGGGTGGGAGGAATCCAATGGGGATGAAGAAGAAGAGGGACGGAACGTTACGCACTATAGCACGCGACTACTCATGTCAGTTCTTTGCTTGGCTACCTGGTTGGTTTGTTGGTTGGTTGGTTGGATTTGCACGCACGCATCCACGCACCCCTCGTTTCACTTTGAACGAAGGTGAACACCTGTTCACTCGGTCGTCGTGGAGTTGGAGTGGTCGGACCCCCACTTCCGGTCGAATCGGAGGAGAACCCAACTTCCATGAGAGTTCAGTTGTACTCGCTTTGTTCATTATTGTGTTACTCCTCGTCTTTCGTAGTATCGAATTCAAAGTGTAAACTTCTTTGCTTTCGTTCACTCTCGTTTACACGAGAAATAATAATTTATTAATTCAATTATTATACAGAGTTGAATTTTGTGACGTGAATTTAAAAATATTATTATCTTTTATCCTAATTGTAATGTTTTTATAGTGATCCGATTCTTTTTCTTCTTTTTTTTAAATACATTTATTTATTTCTTTTTTTTCTTTTTTCTATTAGGAAAAAGATCGAACGAATTTAACTAGCAAAGTGATATCTCGGATATATATGTATGTGTTTGTGTGATTGTATGTGAGATAAAAGGGGGAGACAGGTGTATCGTAAAGAACAGGTGGATTATTAGGTCCTGTTTATCATTTGTTCTTTTTTTAATTGAGTTTTAAGATTGATGGGTAATACGATTCTGATGATAAAAGGCGTTCGTGGTGAGTATTTATTATTTTTATTCATTAATTCTTTCCCATTCTTTCTTTGTTTTTTTTTATTATTATTATTATTATTTTTCTTTTAATATACGTATCAATCGATCGATCGAAAAGAATCGTATCGTTTATTTGATGGAAACGTGGAAAGAATATTTAGAGTATCTGAATATTTACGGAAGTTGTTTCACGGAGGTTGCTCATGGGGATATGTTTGGGTTTACGGTGGTACGAATAAACAGTACGGTGTCCTAGTGAGCTATATATCGATTCATTTTAAATATTTTATCTATATTTCAAATTATTTTCAATTATTTCATTTAATTATCACTAGTTTACGGTACATCTGTTGCCGAAAAAATTGTAGATGTTGCTGACACTACATATGTTATACAAATTTCAAATAAGTAGAATTTTTGTTTATCGGCTCTAATTTTTGATTCTAATTTCGCTTTAAAACTCTTCTTTTATGTATAGATTTAAGAAAATGGTGTATCAGTAACCAACAATAGTCAGAAATCATATTCCTATTTCAGAAACCCTGATAACTTGCACGTTATCGACTAATAAATAAGCATAAATCATAAAAATCAAAAACAAAATAACTCGAGCTGCAGACAAATTGTTGAGGTTAGATTTGACAAAAACAGGATCACAATTGTGTTAACATTATCAATTGTAAAATGCACTTCAACAGATAAGAAGTTAAATTTAGTAAACTAGTGAATTATTAAACTCATTCTTCTTCATTAATTTATTAATAATTGTATAATAATTTGTGAAGACAATTAATAATTGAATTAATTATCGTTGCACTCGAAAGCAACAAGTAGTATTATACTTTCTAATGGATAATAATCTGACAAAGATTTAGCGCAAAATCGAAAGGAAAAGCGAAAAAAGGAAGGTCAAACTGGGGATGGAATGAAGAACTCTCTGTTAATTCTGTAAAATACGAATTTAGAAACGTCTTTTCTGTAGGAAGTTGCCGCCGGTTCTGCACTTCGATGATGCCAAGAGTCCTACATAACCACGTAATAAAGGAGTTTCTCTGCATGCTTTCTAACCACGCGTTATGAACAACAACCTCTCACCCCCTCGAGTTCGTCGTACCGTGTTTATTATTCTGATTTTTATTTTATTAAAAATCATTAGACATGTTACAACAATTAACACGCGTCATCGATCTTCATATGACGAAGTATATAATAAATATAAAAGAAATGAAGGGGGTGTTTCTTCATACACATAAACAGAAATATTACGTATTCAAAAGATAACGTCAGAGTAACTTTAGCATAATTCGTTATGCATTATTCTATAGGATCGTTCAATTCTTTTGATTGTTTTATGATCATTGATGTAAAACAAGTTTTATCTCGTTACAGATGCATCAAGTAAAACTCGAGTTGGTGGATTATGACATTGAGTCGCTATGGGGACCAGTTTACAAAAGATCTTACCTCTAATTTTTTCCTGTATGCTTCAATTAGTTACAGGACAATGTGAGTGATATCGAATATAGTTTTATTATACTTTTTTTTTCTCTTCTCCTCACCCTTTACCCTTATCAATGTTCAGAGCTTTCTATGTATTTGTTTGAATAAGTGGATTTATTAATGAGTTGGGTACTAAGAAGTTTTAAACACAATGTTTAATTGATAATGAAAATAAGATTTATTTGTTGAAACGAAAAAAGAAAAATTGTACACTGGGCTCTCTCCTGACAAAAAAACGTATTACACATGTGCACAAATATTGCACAAATATTGCACAAATATTGCACAAATATTGCAAAGGGAAATATTCTCAATAGTATTAAAAAGACATACATAGTTAGTTAGTTAGTTAGAATCTTTAAAGCAAAGTTCTAACAATATTTTGTACAACTTTACAACTGAGTTTGCCTTAGGATTTAACCGGAACTTCGCTCCAGGGAAGCGCACATATCTACCCTCCCGCATACTTTCGTTCGTATGTAACGTTTGCCATACTACTCGTTTATACAACACACAGATGGGCACCAATAAGTGCCCACGTAAAACACGCGTGCAAGTTACTCGTCCATCCTCGCGATTCACTTACGTTCACGAACACGAACGAATTCTATGAAAAACTTTGCTAACAGTTTGTTCGATAAGAATATATTGTTTGAAAATCCTAAAGTGGTCTAACCCTTTAAGTAAATAAAAATTTCGTGATTGAAATACAAAATTAGGTCAGTACTTATGTTCCTCCAATGAATATTCTTTTCTTTTTTTATTTTTAATACTTTTTAACGAGAGGTAGAAATTGTTAGAAATTGATTGAATTTCGACAAAAAGAAAAAAAAACAAGAATTTCAATGAATAGAACTCTGTAAGAATCAATAGGTGTGTGCGACTGGTTAAAGCAGGACGTTGTGAAATCCTTGGAGAGACATCCGGCACGCGTAGAACCAAACGAAATTCGATGAAAAAGGACACCTAACGTTACACCAGGTGTTGTCTCGATTACATCAAGTAGTTCGATACGAAAAATTTCACTAGATCTCTTAGTCTTTTTGCTTGAATGCTTGAATGCACCGATGCTTTTCAGCAACGGTAACGCCCATTCTTCTCTTTCACTTCTTCATTTTCTCACAAATGATTTTTATATTTATTAATTATTTATTATATTACACCGGTATATTATTTTCAAATCAAATTTTATGTTACGTAAGTTTATTGTGTTCATTTTCGAGAAGAATATATATAAATTCATTCAAATATATTCGTACAACTTGTTCAAATTTAATCGAACATAATCATGAATGTGTCTTTTGTCAATTGTCCGAAAGACAATTCTTGGAAATTTCGGCTTCACTAGAATTGTTACCGAAAAAAAAAACAAAAACCGGTTTTTATTCGGCGAAAGACCGGAAACCACAAATGACACTGACACTGGCTCAATGTAGTTCTATACATTCTATCGTGAGAAAATATTTTCATATTTAAAACGATCGATGTATCAAGTTTCTAAAGTTTAGCCCAGTTTCCTGAATTAATATTACAAATATGATATTTTAATTGTAGTATACTAGATATTATTTGGCACTTAACGCAATTATCTTTTTAAATCTAGACAATTGTATTAATTTTTTGATTGGATCATTCGATATATTTGATTATTATAACAGTGATCCGAGATACGAGATGTTTCTTGGAAAACGGTGCTACGGCTGCTCACCTCTTTGTCAACGAGGATCACGCAGTTGGAGATATCGTCGGCGTACTTGGTGTTTTAGGAGATCCAGGACCACACGGGGACATTAAATTGAGACTTCAAGAACTCGATAGTCCTGTTGAGTTTTCACCTTACTCGAAAAACTTAACATTAACAAGACCATTAGATAAGGAAGGTGTTGACGGACCTGCAAGCGTTTACGTCAACGTCATATGCGAAAGAAAGCGTACATTAGATCCAGTTAGTATCAAATATTTACATTACCAAACAACAAAATCTATCCTAGACACGAACAATTTTAATTGTTTACTATGTTCTATCATCTTTGTTTCTTTTTTTTTATTAAGGGTTTCGTGATACCGGTTAATATTCGCGTGACTGATGCCAATGATAATGCTCCCCAATTCGTAAACGCACCTTACGTATTAAATATTTCTGAGGTAAGAAAAAACATTTCGTTATATTTATTTACTTTTAATAAATTAACATTTTTGTTTTTGGATATGATTTTTATATTGAGACAAATAAAAAATCTCACCAATATGATATCCAGATTGATTCTTTACGCTGTGTAATTTCATTTCGTTGAAAAGAAGGATCGAATTAAAGTGCAATAAACCCAATGTGCATACTTATCATACATCCGTTTCGTTTTCAGGTCACGGTCGTTGGTACAAGAGTATTGCAGGGTGTTCGAGCAGTGGATGCAGATCAACCAGGGCCTTATTCTACTGTACAATATGCCGTTTTACCGGGACCTCATTCTGTAAATAACATTATTATTCTTTTCATATTCACATATTCTTTTTGATATCAATTATTAACATATGCATTTTATATATATATTTTGTTTTCTTTTATATAGGAATACTTCGTTTTTGTGAATGCATTAGAGGGTACGTTAGTATTAAGAAAACCATTGGATTACGAAGTTCTTACAAATTTTTCTATCGATATTCGAGCACAAGTAAGTTAACCAATACATTTGTTGATCTACTATTAAAAAGATAAAATGTCAAATAATACATTTTTATCTTCTAGGATCAGGGTAATCCACCACGATCCTCGACAACGACGTTATACGTAAACGTAATTGATGCCGATGATCAAAATCCTGCGTTTCTCAATGATCAGTACAAAGTCAAAGTTCCTTCTCAAATGAAAACGGTCATTATAGATAAACTTTCAATAATAATAATAATAAGCTCAAAGAATAATTAGGATTATAATGAACTAATTATTTGTTTTATCTTCTTATACACAGAGAACACATTTGAAAGTGGAACCAGCATCAATAAAGGCTGTTGATCAAGATAGTGGTATAAATGCACCCGTTAGATATACCATTCAAGGAGGAATTTTACCTTTCCTTATATTAAATCCTGATACTGCTGAAATATCTATTATAAGATCGTTGCAAGATAATGAATTGTTATCTCCAGCTACGATTGTCGTTAAAGTGAGTTTTACCTTGTCCTCTTTGCAAATAATATATTTTCTTTTTAACACTTTGTCTTCTTGGTGCGTTTGTGTTTCTATGTGTAATTCATTTATTTGTTGTAAATGCACGTTCTACAAATGAATTTTCTGCAAATGAATGATGCAGCATTTAAAAGTGTTAACAAGTATCTATATATCTATTGTGTATATCATCTTGTAAGACACGGTTTCTAAATTTGTCATTGAATTCTTAGGCCACTCAGATAGACAATCCTGATAGGTATGCATTGGCAACTATTGTTGTATCTCGAGAGGATGCTTATGGAACAGGTCCTACAGCAGGTAAATAATTATACTAATAAATATGTCACACTTTTTCAACATGTACCTTTACCAAGCTGCATTATTTGATTAATTGTAAATGTCATTTTCATGATATGTGTATCTAAAATTGATAAGGAAGGTTCAATATATCTGTTCTATACTTAGAAATCAATTATTCTACAGATTATCTGGATAATGTGGAGATTAACTAGGGTTTTATATATTTTCATTTAATAAAGTATGAAATACTAATACTTCTTGTGAATGCATATAAACAACAAGTTAAAGTTTATAATAAAATTCTTTTTATATGACTTTTCTAAAACGCCTAGTTATAGTATAACTAAGTATACCTATTTGTGGTACATTTAGATTTGGTGTATTTTGTTGTTGACGAATAATCATCGTGTATTATATAATAACCATAGATTATATTTCTTTTTGTTTAAATATTACAAATAATTGTTTATTGATGCAATACGTTTATGATTAGGAGGCCGAATACCTACAAAATTTACCCTGAAAGATTATCAAGTAAAAATTCCAGAAAACACGCCCTCGGGTAGCGTTATTTTAACCATGAGTGTCAATAAAGCTGATACTGTAAGTATTTGTTAATAATACAATTGAGTTTGATTTTATTCGTTAAGTATGGATTTTAGTATGTTAAAGTAAAATTGTGTTCTCTTAATGTTTCAGACATTAAAATTTTGGCTTGTAGGAGCAGCCGAAGATTTGGAAAGGTTTTCTGTAACACCTTCTGGCGAATTAATATTAAAGGGTACACTTGATTATGAGAAAAGAACTCAACATAGTTTTTTGGTCCAAGTTACTGATGGTTACTTTGTATGTCTATTTTAAAATAATTTCTTTTTCTTAAAAAGATATTTTGTTTTTTAAATAAATTGTTTTGTGTTGTTGTTTAATCTATACTTATTGAAATTATTTGGGATTTAGAACGATACGTCTAGAGTGAATGTATCAATCGAGGATGTTAACGAATGGGAACCTAGATTTCGACATCCCAGATATGAATTTCATGCACGTTCTTTAAAAGAAGGTTCTATCGTTGGTAAGTTAAATTTTGTTTAGAATTTAGGGCAAAATTAAACAACACATAACTGCAACATTGAAATTTTCTAATTTTTATCCTTACTTTAACGATACAAGTTTGCAATAACCAGCTTCAGAATTCCATTATTTTCGTCGGTATTCATTGTCAGTATTCGAAACTGAAAAAAAATGTTATATAATTTAGTATAATAATAAATCTGTGTGTGAATATTTGTATTCTATCGATATTATGTCGTATTTAGAAAAGAATATCGACTACGTATAAATTTTTAGGAAGATTGGAAGCAGCGGATGGTGACAGAGATGATACGGTTCGATTATCTTTAAGGGGTCCGGATGCAAGGTATGCATTTTTCTTAAATAACAATATTTATTTATACGTTTTATCGATAGGAAATAGTACTGAATAAATAATCAATTAAAATATTATTTTTATTATAACAATCTAAAATGAAATTTTAGATCATTCGAAATACACGATAATGGCGAATTGATTTTGAGATCAGCAAACACCATAAACGGTTCTATGGCACGTTTGGTAGCTGTTGTATCGGATTCGGGACGTCCTCCGAGGTGCATATAAACTATGATTAATCTTTTTTAATGGATAATAATAATAATAATAATCATATTTTTTGTAGATCGAGTATGGTACCTGTAATAGTTCACATGCCGAACGGTGCATCGTTACCTGTTGCTGCAAGAGCTGCACCTGCTTGGTTAGGTAGCAGCGTCCTTTTGGTTGCAGTTTTTGGTGCTGTTTTAGGACTACTTGGTGTTGTCATACTTATTCTTATTCTTTACATATACAAACAGTAAGTTAATTGAAATGAAAAGAAAAGAAAAGTAAAGATAAAAGTAAAAATTTTAACCCTTTGATTGTTGAATATTTTTAGCTAAATTATTTATTAGGGACAGAATACTTTATTGCTAGTATAGTTGTTTCGTTTGATTGATTTTACTCTTATCATATTTAGCACGTTGACTGCCATGTTGGTCACTGGTGACCTCAGCATAAATAATGTGTTAAACACAATTATACAATCATAATTCACACATAATTCAACATCAATTAAACAATAAATTGCGCATTAATAATCAGTAAGCAAAAGCTACATTACATTTATCATTAACAAACGCATATATATGCATTTATAGCAGTCAAAGGGTTAATAAGAAAGAAAAATTGTCACTTTTTTATGATTTAAAAAGTAGATATTAAAATAAATGATTAAACAAAAATGTTTTTGACAGTAAGGGCAGTAAAAGTGGTGGATCAGTAAGCTCAGTTGGAACCGGTTATCGTGAAAAATCCCCCGTCCCATCAGCTTTGAGTCCAACTCCACAAGTATTAGGTGCCAGTGCTCTTCAAGATACATCCGAAAATAGTTACAGGAAACGTTCAACGACAAACGAAAGTGGAAGTAACGCTAATGAAACCGTCACCGATCTAGATGCGCCTTCCACCGGTTTCGGAGAATTGAACGAGCGTGCCTACGCTGCAACAATCAAAAGTATGTTCCCGTCACGAGTTGTCATTCGTGATGGTACGATGCGTTCTACTTCTTCTTCTTGTCAACGTTTCGAACATCGATTCGTACGCGCTAACTCAAGTATGTCTGGAAGATGCCACGTTACCAGACTCAATCCTTTCTTCTCTACGATCGATGAAAATCGGCTTAGATATTATTGGCTTTGATGATTGTTGTTGTTGTTGGATTCCTGTTAGGATGAAACAAAAGTCCGTGCGTTTATTGTGTTGAAACTTTTTTTTGCGATTAAGTTTAAGAGAAAAGTATAATAGTAGTTAATTCTCGACTTGAGATTGTCATAAAAAAGAAAATTACTTTTTTTATTTCTTTCCCTTTTACAATAATATATCGATATGATAAATAAATTTGTATTATCAAATTATTGTGACATATTAATAACAATATTAATAACATTGATTCGTATATATCGTGTTTTTGATTATTAAATTGAATTAAAAATGTCAAAGAGAAAGGAGGAAGGTGTGTGGCTTGAGTGCACTTAACTTTGAGGGAACTTCATTGGTTCAACTACTAAATGTTATTGGGTGCAGGTGTCGCGTCGGCTAGACAACTACCTCTCTATGCTAGGCATAAGATTGCACCAGCACCTACGAATCCACCTGCCTTATCAGCAACATCAAACATTCCGAATATCGGTGGTCTTGTTCAAAACATGAACGACTTGAGTGCGAGGAACAATCTAGATGCAACTTCCCACGATTCCTCAACTTGTTCCGGTGATCCACCGGACTCTTTGATGACTGTCTGGCCAGTTGGATCTATGTCACCTAGGGTAAAAAAACTTTCTTGGGACGACGACGATAGGGTAAGTTTTATTATATTTATTATTTATTATTATTTAACCCCTTAACATCACGAAGCCTATATACAAGCAGAACGATTGCAGTGTTATAAATGTGTCTACGTATATGCAGTATGAAAGGATGATTTCTATTGCCACTAGAGAGCGCGTCGATTCGCATGATCTGATTTTTCATGCACTTTAGATGCACGATTTAAAATTTGATAGTATACACTATATACAGAATATTTGACTCATCAAAAAATAATATTATTATCATATAAGAACTCTCTTGGCAAAAATGTTACAACCAATCTCATTTGACCGATCATATTACGTTTATTGTTAATAATAAATCCTGTATCATTTATAGATTTAAATGTTATATATATATTTTTTGTTATTTTTATACGAGACCGAACGAATATCCTTTTTTTCTTGTATATTTTATATTCCAGACTGTTGAGAGTATCGACGTGAGAGCAGAAACCAGGCCAGGAAGCACTAAAACTGAAACCGAACGTCTAAATCTTACCGTTTATTTTTGAAAGTTTAATTATTATGTTTTTTATTTAATTTAACGACGATATTTTGTGTGCTTCTCTTTTTTTTTTGTGTACATTTTTAGCATCGAACGAATTAAAAATATTTCATTGTTGCAATAACGTCGTATAACTTATTTGAAAGAAGAAAAAAAAAGCAGACAATAATAGTATTATTATATTATATTATAATCTAGGATTGTTCATACATTCTAATTTGGATAAAATTGGAATCAGTTAATCCTCGATTAACAATTTTATTTACGTCATTATCTTACGTCAACAATTGTATCTATATTCTTTTGTTTATATATATATATATACTACTACTACTACTACTACTACTACTACTACTACTACTACTACTAGACAGTGAAACCTGTAAGACGTAAACTCTAATACTTTTTAATTCTACGTAATCGAGAACATTCGAGGTCAGTAGGTCAATCTTTGCGGACGGTCTCTTATTCAGGAAGAAAACCCGGATTTTGCGAGATCATGATCAACCCAAAATAAAGGGACCAATTCGTAATTTCAACAAATATCAAATACTATGATGATATTTGTATCATCTATACATATACATAATATCTAGATATATATATATATATAATATGCAAGAGGTGGGATAATAATTCTGTCCATTTTTATTATGTTTTTTTCCTTTTTTTACAATTGTATTAAATAAACAAAGATGTTTATGGTAGACAGAATAATTATCTTTTTAAATGTGAATATATTGTGAGAATAAAATATGATCAGAATAATATGATTGTATGGATGATTTTAATTATTTGAATCATTAGATTTTCCTTTTGCAATAATGCAACATTTTTTCACAGAAATGTATTGATACGATTGTTAACAAAAAAGATATTCAAAGTGGACAGAGTTATTATCCTTATTTTGTATTTAAGTATTATGTATACGTATTATAATACTTTATAAGTATTCATTATATTATAAGTAAGATGAGAAGAGAATAAGGTTTGTAAATATTGAGATAAATACTTGTTATTAGTAAGAGCCGAGTTACCAAATGATCATTAATTTTGCGTTAGAGATTCTTATGGTACATCTAAAAGATTTATTTTATATATATATAAGTTTGAGAACATAATTGAATAAATGAATGATTATTATGTTATTTGAAATATCATTGTTATATAATCTTTTGGAAAAATGATAATAAACTTGATGAAAATAATGTGAACGACAATAAAATTAATAATATCATTTATTAATGATAAATTAAGTTGTTAATATATAATATAATGTATTTGTAATTTAATATTATTAATTATTATTTAATGATAATTAATATGTGTCAATTAAGAGTATAATATATTATTAATAATATATAATAATAATATAAATTATATACTTAACACACACACGTTGTCTAATTTTCATAGTAACAGAACGTTATCGATTATTTTTCATTTTCATTTTTCTTTTATAATATTCTTTTTGGTTTTATAGTATATCAATGATCGTATAGAATGACGTTGCAAATGAACTTGTAAAAGAAAGTGACTTGTTTTTCGAGGAGGGGAGAAAGTGACCCAGAGAAGTTCTCAGAACTGATCATCATCCTTTCAGATCGTTTATCGACAGTCGCACGTTGAACGTTTACAGGTAGAGAACATAATATGTCTGTGTGTCTGTGCACGCGCGTCTATTAAAAACAATTTTTAAACGTAATTTCAACGATCGAAGAATAATATTTTCGAATCAATTATCATTCGCGGATAAAATAGTAAAGGATATATAAAAAAAAAAATTGTATGTTAATTTATATAAAGTTAATTTAATTGATTTGTCATTTTGACACCAGGACGTTTACTTTATTCGTCATCACTTTACTTTCAAGATATGCCACGGTGATACACGCGGAGAAAGCGGGAAATTCCAGAGTCATCGACGACGATTACTATAAAGGTAAACACGATTAAAAATTATCTGACTTATAGCGTTTGATTTGTCTTTTTTTTACGCGCAAATACAAGCTGGTCTTCCTAAATTAATATATTAAAAATTAATATTAATTTATATTAATATAAAATTACAATACCTGTTCGTTTTATTTTTATTTCAAAATATTTACGAATCTCTAATTAATTTTAAATTATTTTAATCACAATGAGGTGCTATTTCGAATACTTTTCTAAAAATCAATTCATCATATTCCATTCAAGTTTTCGCAATATGATTGCCATTTAAGTTTTGGAACACCTTGTATATAAGTTTGCTTTCATTGGTAATTAAATGAATTTATTCTTTTTATCAAATTACAGATCGAAAATCATGAGACAATCGAAACACTTGTGTACACATTTATCAATATTTCTGATAACATCGTCAATGATCATCACAGATATTTTGGGTATATTATTAAAGAAGAAATATATATATATATTGTTCTTTTAATAATTCATTAATTTTACAATAAGAGAGGGTGAAGAAACAAATTAAAAATAATTCATTCTAAGAAAATGATCATATATCTCACTTTGTTTTATTTTGATTTTGTATTTTATCCAACTATTATCAGCCGAGTCACCGTTAACATCGACAAATGACACGAACATACTTGGAACTCGTAAAATAGGACCATGGAGTGAGATTTTAGAGGATTGGATCGTATCTGCAGCGAATCCAGGTACGTCAAGAGTATCTAAGGTAATGAAACTAGGTGACAAAATGTTGACGGTGTCAACAAAAGGAACACCGAATAAGAGGGACGTTTCCGAAACGGATATTTATTTGTTAGGTAAGAATTCTTATTATCTTAACATTAGAATTAAAATTTATTATTAATAATATTATAAAGATAAGTTGTTGTTATTTATTGAACAAACAAACATTCGTTAAATATATATATATTCATTTATTCAAAAATGTGAGATAAAAATATAAGTAAAGTAACGATAAGACGTTGTACAAAATTTTATAAGTTGTTCAATAAAAATCTTTGATGGTAATAATAATAATATATTCATTTATTTTCAGGTGCTATCGAAAAACTTGTCTACCGGGTGGATTACGTTGAAAAACGTTTGAGAAGAGCCGAAGAACTGTTGTATTACGTTATTTCTGGATCTACCTCTATCAAAGGTTTAATTAATTCAAATATTTGATTGCGTAAAGAAGATATTTCTCTTCTTCATTTTATTTGTCTACATATTAATGATTGATTTGAATTTTACAGATACCTGTCCAACGAATTATACCAGCATTGGTCGTTATTGTTATTATTTTAGTGATCGTGAATACGATTGGAAATCATCTGCAAGTCTTTGTCGGGGTATGGGTGGTCATTTGGTCGAATTCGAGACAATTGTTGAAAATCAGGATGTAATATCTCACATACAAGGACACGCGAAATTAAAAGGGAAACATTTTTGGACGGGTGGTTTGAATCCTGGTCTTTTATGGATTTGGGCTGGTAGTGCAAGACCTATACATAATGATACCAAACAAGCTGTTGTTGGGAACGGCAGGTTATTATACAATATTTCATTACTTTTCTTTTTTCTTTTTTTTTGTTGTACACCTTTTATGTATAACTTCTGATCTTTCGTAAAACGAATATATTTTAAATATTCTATTTTATTTCAGGTGTTTGAAATTATCTTACGATATGTCGTCGAAAATTTATTCTTACAAGGGGGAGGAATGCGCGTCGAGACAAAAATTCATTTGCGAATTGACCACCGATGACGAATCGGCGAATAAAATTGAAAGAACTGCACGAATATTATCCGATAATATTCCTTAAATTCAAGGATTTTTTGTGTTTTTTTTTTCTAGGATTATGTAATTATTTATCTATTATGTATTATATATTTGGAAATTGTGTTTTAGTATTATTGATTTCGTATTTATTATTTATCGATATTTACTATAGTTATACGAATGCATTTTTGAAAAGTGCAGTAGATCGAAACTGTTTCGCTGTTCGTTTTTTTGTACGTCCTATGTACAAACCCCCGGATTTATTTATAAATTTTATTCCTATTATATAAAATTTATATTTACCATTACGATTTCAGAATAATAAAGAGACACATTATGCTAATAATATGAATAAATTTGCATTATGCAATTTTTTGCGAAGTTACTCGTGTACGATAGTCAAATGCTAATAAATAATGCAGATTAATCTTACAGCAAAAAGATTCGTTTGACAATCTTTGTTGAATAAATATATTTAATACTATCTTTTTTGTTTTGTTTTTTTTTTAAATATAGCAATAAAAAAGAAATAAGAATAAAAAAGCTATTATAACAGGACCTAATAAAAAGAAAAAAAAATAAGAAGAAGACTAACCTATTAATACCGGATGTTTTCTTTGTACTAATTAGATAATCACATCTACACATTGATGCATTTTTATCATCTCAATTGGAAGGGATTTTAGAAGAAATTTTCTCGTGAAGTTTATTCGCAGCATGATGAGCAAGTATTAAACTTCGTTTCGATTGTTTGACGAGAGAATGAACTTCATCGCTTGTAATAATTAAACCGCCATTTTCGGCGATAAGATTTGTAGCTTTTTTTATTTGATCGTTATCGATGCCACGACAACAATCCTCTAACAGGACAACCTTATATCCAAGTTTCAATGCATCGAGACAAGTTTCCTTAACGCAAACATCCAAAGCCAATCCACAAACGTACAAATCGGTTGCTTTGAATTTTGACAAAGCCTTTTCCATTTCCGAACACGTTTCTTCATCATCTCTCGTGAAGATTGAATAAGCTTCTACATTTGGATTTTGACCTTTGCATATCTTAAATAAAATATATATCGACAGGATGTGCAATATAAATATTTTCTAAATTAAATAGTAATAATAATAATGATTCATTTTTAAATGTAAATACTTGTATCGAAAGAGGTGATATATATAAATCTTGATGTAATTCTGATCCCCATGTGCCCATTACACAATGTTTCGGCCATAATGTTTGTTCTACGTGTGGTTGCATAAATATTACTTTATCGTATAATACAGCTTCTTCTTTTTTAATCTACGGATAAAAAAGAATAATTTGTTTTGACGTTAATGATAGATATTCATGCATTGTTTTTTTTTTTTGTAACGCACGTGTAACACACGTGTAATCTACGTGTAACGCACGTGAAGTTTGTTTCGAAACCTTTTATACGATACTTTTTATTTTTCAAAATCTAATAAGAAATATTTAATAAGTAAATATAAGAACAAAATAAGCTAATGTGGAAATAAAGTGTTATTTGATCGCGTCTAAGATAAAAAACGAATATTATGATAAATTGTGTTTCATTTTTGACGAGCTTCGTGACGACGTAGGAAAAGTTACTTTTAATTTCATTTAAACGACATTTCAATATAATTCTCTTGAATAAAAAGCTTGACAAGTGGGTTATGGCATCTTTTTCTTGATTTATTTAGTTCGAACGTAATAATAACGAGTTTAATCAGGTTGCATAATCAATATGAAACATAAATACCAATCATAAATGTTAAAACTTGAAATATGCATACTTGAGACGTTGGATGAAGTTCTCGTAAATGAAGATTTTCGTAAAAACTGATATGATCTTCAGGATGATAATCCAATGTGTAAACAATTTCGTTCCAATCAATTGTTTTCAATAAACGATTGATTGGTTTTATTACCTGGTAACCATCATGCTTACTCTTACAATTACGCAATGATAATGATCCGTGAATAAAATCGTTTTGTACATCAACTACCACTAATACGTTTACAGGTTCTACAATTGGTTGTATCCATTCTTTATAGCATCTATAAAGAGCAAAAGTATTGCATAAGTGTTGTATAAGTTCGAATAATACTCCTTAATTAAAACAAATTATTTCTAATTATGTCATCAAATAAGACAGACAAATAGAATAATGATGGATAATAACGTAGATGATACAATGATAAGTCATTATATATTGTTCTCCTGAAAAATACCTGCCTAACATATGTTACATCTTTTATGTTATTTTTTCTTTAACAAGATTGAAATCGTTTAAATTTCCCGCCAAATTTCTTATCAATTAATTGTTTAAATTTGAATACCCTTAAGGAGGATAATTTTTTAAAAATCTTATTGTCATATTTATCTGTACACTTATAGACTTTTTTTAATCAATGATATTATTAATTGACAAACCCGTCCATTAAATAAATATAAACAAAAGAAACAAAAATATATAAATTTTTATGTTAAACTGTTGTGGTCATAACGTTACACTTGATTTCCTTTTGATCGTTACGTTATTTTATTAATCAGTTTTTAATTCAAATTTTTATTTTCACAATGAAATTATGAATGAATGTAATATTAGAACGTTTGTAAAAAGTCATCAGAAAAAGTAGAATAAAATATATATGCAATTATATATATTTTTTATATCGAAATAATATTTTTACATATATCGTACGATACCTTTCCCATTCATTTCCTTTCAAACCACTTTCTTCATTCGTATGAAACTTTTTAAAAATTTCTTTAACTCTCCATTCATTATCGTCAACTTCTTCTTCGAAAAGTTCTTTGCATAAGAGAAGAAATTCATTTTCATCTATGACACCGTCCCCGTTAATGTCAAAATTTGCGAAAACACTAGTTGCTGTTAGCCAAATCTTTGACCTTTTCATATTGATAACGATGATAAACAAGATTTTATATTATTATAAATATCGCGAAAAATTGTTATTTGTTTGATCTCATTTGCCAAAATTTTGGAATGAAATTTATCAAAATAAAAATAAGAGGGAAGACAATTTTAATGAACACTGTTGGAAGACAAGTTACGAGACTATCTGTTTATGGACGCGGTTTTCAAACTGACTGATATGAGTTACCTTATATACTATCTTAAATACTATTCAGTGTTCTCAACATAGTAATATGAGATTGATACCTTTAATCGTTACGACATAAGAACAATGACTTGAATTATTTAAATTGTTTTTAACGTCATTTTAATTTTCAAAGAGGGTAATTAATATTTGACAAGGATTTATATAGTTTCATATAATATTTTGTTCCTTTTATAAAAAATCAATATCCTTCCTTTCATCTATTAATCAGCGACTTCTATCGTTTTTTTCGCGAATTAATATATTAACTTATATTGTTTATCATTAAAATAAATTCTTTTTTTTATAAATATTTATTACTTCTGTTATAAGGTAATGTGATTTAAGTATGAGAAACATATATTAAATGATATGAATATAAATTAAAATATTTTTTGTAACCTATGTCCTCGTTTATGTATTTACACAAGTGTGTTTTTTATTATACATCACGGATCTAATTATACTTAAATACTAAACTTTAAGTACTACGCAATGATATGCACAATGGCAATTAGGCATATCAGGCAATTCAGGTGATTTCAATAAAAAGTGTGTATGTTAAGGATCATTTTTTCAATATAAATATTTAATCTTATAAGTGTAATAATCTTTTACAAAAATAAAAATTTTACATCTTTGGTTAGATATTAACATAAATTTTAAAATAATACTAAAGTAAAAAGTTATTTGCTTTGTAATTTGAATTCTTTTTTTCAACTTGTTCTATCAATAAAAATAATATTAAAAGTAACGTTTTAATTAATTGAACATAGAAAAAGGTTACGTTCATTGTTACTTAAATTAATTATAAAATAGTAAGTAGTACAGTTTCTATGTATAATAAAAACTGTAAATTAGTATGTTAAATGGTATATTAAACTTATGCGTATAAAAATGAAATGTATTTTATAATCAACTTTGTTATTCGGTTTCACTTAAATTGGGAAATAAACGATTTCTTTCGATAATAATTTCTGTTGCAATCTTGTTGACGAAAGGATTTTTAATTTTGTCTACTGACGATGTAAAAAATTCCTGTAATTGGCCAGGAATATTATCTCGTTTCTCATATTCATACGCTTGCATAATTAAGTCCAACCTGTCCAAGTCTTTTACGTATTGAGCTTCTGGAGATTCTTGTCTTTCATATTCCTATATATACAAAATAAAGATAATCATATAAAAAATCATTATTTTTAAAATACTATTAAGAAAAATCATTTAAGATATATCAAATAGATGAGTCATAAGAAAATTAAATTTACACGAAACATTTGTAATATAGTTGGCCCTTTGTCGCCTAAAAGTTGACAGATTTCTTCCATTGCAGCATCTTCTCGTTTATGTTTTTCTTCAGGAGAGACACCGCAGAAAGGTGTTATATCTCCAACAATGCATTCAGCTAAATCATGAATTATTGTCATTTGCAATATTCTAAAAATAATATTACAATGTACTTTCTATTAGTGAATCTTGTAAATGGTGTATCTAATATGGGATGCACAAACAACGAATAATGCTGAATTTTCCAACAATAGACAAAATAAAAGAAAAAAGATAATATAAATGAATTTCTTACTTGTTTTTATCCAAATTATTATTGCTATCTGTTAATAAAGAAAGAATGGCCATCCTGTACATATGTCCTGCTATTGTTTCCGGATCAGGAATGTTTCTTATTACCCATCCTGTTCTTTTCATGTGCTGAAAAAAATATAAGAGAAACAAGCGGCAAAATGAAAATGATAAAATAGGTTAGGTTAGTTTGTTATTACATAATTAAATCTATTAAACGAGAAAACATTTGGTTATCAATGGCATAAGTGTACCACACACAAATAAAAACATTTATCTATTATAATAAACATATTACAGAATTTTAGTGTTCATATATTTCCAACAATAGACACATTTGATAATGACTTTAATTATTAATAATTATTACCTTAAGGCGTCCAACCAATTCCATAAATTCATGTATTTTTTTAACTTCCATTTTTCTTACGTTCTGAATATTAGCACCAATTTGTACTTTATAAGAGTATAACGAATGTACAAGATATTCAGTTGCCGAAACAATTGCTGTTTTAAATTTGACTAGAAGAAATTGGTTTTCTCGATAACGATTGGTCGATTTTTAACTTCCGGTAACGGTATCATTCGATTGGATGGTTAGTTATAAACGCTGTGTGTGATTCACTTTAAAAATCTATTTATAGTTATATTATTTTTTGGAAGATAAAAACAAATTCTAAGATTTTTATACTGATTATTATAATATTTGTAATATTAGAATGAAATTTAGATTTAGAAAATATTAGAATATTATTTATTTAATTAGTTATTTCTCTCGTCCAAAATTATAATTGTTGATAAGGTATCACAGGGAACTTGGACATAAAAAAGAAGTAGAACTTAATTTAACTAAGTTGGACTTAAGTTTCGTCCCTTTATTGGGACTTCTTCAGCAACTAATAATATTATAATATTATAATTATATTTAATGATTCTTATATATAACAATGCAAATAAGTTTTTGAGCGTTAACCTCTGTCGTAATGAAAAAAAGAAAACAGGTTGCCATTTTTAATTAAAACCATTTAATTACTGCTAGAGAGAAGATTTTTCTTTTCTTTATGGTACATAATACAAACCAGTAGATCGTGTTCAAGAAACTTAATATAAAATAAAAGAAAATATTGTCTACGAAAAATGTTTCATTATTTAAACCCTGAAATATAATTATTTCAATATATTTAATTAATTTACAGGAAACGTAGAGTAGTTAGATACGAAATTGAAAATTTCTCCGAAATATATATACATTGCCTGTAACATATATACATAAGAATATATTTACGTAGTTTAGCCGGAAGACCCCGAGACACCCTATATATACGATTTACTAGTCGACCGGAAAGTTCTGCGCGATAATGAATTTTTCGTCTCCAAAAATAAGTCATTCTACTTAAGCGAAATTAACAAATAATCATCACATTAATAACAGGTCATTAATAACTATGAAAATGATATTGTTCGATAAATATTATTAAAAATTTATTGAAAATGTATTACTTCTTTTTTTTCATTCAAAAACTGACATAACTTTCTATTAAACTTAATCTTAATATAAAATAGATATATTTCGAAAGTAGCGAATCACATTGTGATTAATTGATATTTAAAATATTTCTTTTGAAACAATTTGTATTTGATAACAAAATTTCAATAGATCTCAATTAATTATAATTTTAACTTGCTATTAATAATAATTCAATTATTATATAGCGAAGGTTCTATATCGAAGGAGTATATATATATAGACGTTTCCTTAAAATCAATGGGCGTTGTTCACCGACAAAGAATTTGGTCTATAGATGGAATGCGGTTTTGGACATCGTCCAAAAAGTGAAATTTTGTCGATATTTGATAAATTTATGCACAAATCTATGTATTTTCCTTTCTTTTTATATATTTTATTTAATTATAATAAAAACTACATCCATCACACATATTTATCGATGCATAATTTTCTTTCTAATATATATATATATATATATATATTATAATAATTATATTGAATATTTAATAATCCAACGGGGTAAAAAAATTTGTTATTAATCATAATATTAACGATACGAAATACCACGATATATATTCAATGACCTTCATACTGTAAGTGTAACCGTGCAGACATAAATTTCCGCAATGACGCGCGATTACGTGCGTACGATTAAGCAAAGAAAGTGTATACGATGGTAACAACGTGGGTTATTTAGTAACACACGTTCGATACTAACGCTTTTCTGCTCATCATCTACAGGGATACCTTAATCAATCGATAAAAGAAGAAGAAGAAGAAGAAGAACACTCGATGTTGTTTATCATACGAACAAATTTCTTTTTTCTTTTTTTTTTTTTCGTCTTCTTCTTGTCTTCTAAAAAATATGTCAAATGAAATTATTCCAATCGTTTTTCGATATTTTCTACTTTATTTGATATATTATTCTGATAGTTTCATGCGAAGTTTTGTTTTGTTTTTTATTTAATTAAAATCAAATAAAAGATTTTCTATTCGAAAATTCAGATTTCTTCGAAAGTTCACGGATACATGATACGTATTTACGTACGCAGGACTTGGATACTATCTTCTCAAATTATAATCAATAGATAACCGTCGGAACGGCGCCAAAACTTATTTTTATTCTCTTCCAACGATCCTTTCCCAGTAAAAGACGATACACAAAATTCTCTTACGTTTAATAAGATTGACAAACATAATTTATGCAATTTTTTGTCTTTCCAAAAATAAAATCAAACAATATTCCCGTTAAATCTTTCGAACGAATAATTAAATAACTTTTTTAAAAATGCATCTAATTAATTATTAAACAACAACAACAAATCCAAAAATAGATACGTTTTATTTTTCGTACGATATATTTCCAAACACGGTTATTGCAATAAATTTCAATTGAAATTGATGCACGTTAACTATCGTTTTTCTTTTTCTTTTTTTAGTATACGTGATATTACGAGATCAACAATACGGAATACATTAACGAGCTTATAACATCACAAAATGTTTATTGCAAAAGATGTAATATTGCATCATCAAAATTGTTAGGGATTAGAAATGATACGATGTTTCAGAATATATATATTATTTTTTCCGTAGAAGATAATCCAATGATTCCAAACGAATCGTAAATTTCATGTAGGTATGAGGATCGAGGTAGTAAGTATCATTGAAACATCGATCAGTATAGCTGTCCAATATTTTACAGGACGGTAACCATTGACGGTATACGGTTGACGTGATAAACCATTTCAGTAATCGATCGATAAGCGAATGTTATTAAGCATAAAAGAAGATTGGTTTATTATAAAACCAAATTTACATTAAACCCTTTTTCTAATATGTCAAAAATTTTCCTTAATTTATTAAACAAATTTTTTCACGATATCGATTTGATCCTCATGTTATATATCATAAGTATATATATAATATGGTTATATATATATATATATACACACTGTTTGATTTTCCTAGAAAGAGAGAAAAAAAAGAAAAAGTTTTTCTAGGCAAATATCGTCAATTTTCTCGTTCACGTAGTTTAGAAGAATTCACTCGAGAAATCTTCGAACGTTCCCAGCATCCCCCATCGGATACTACAGGGATGAAGTTCAATGGAGGGTGAGAAAAGAGAGAGAGAGAGAGAGAAATACAAGGGTCGACAGCACGAGGTTCCATAAAACAAAGGAGAAAAAAGTGTATGTATAAAAGATCCTATGGACTAGTTCCCTTTATTTTTTTTCTTCCCCCTTTTCCATCTTGACTCACTCATTATACATTGAAACGTATTAAAATGGGAATACACATGCGTAGGTACGATCGCGTAATCAATTTTTTGTCTAATATATTTTTTTTTTTCAAATATAATATTATAAAAGAATTTTTTTATGAGGATCGAGTTAATTAATGTAAAAATGTGTATTATGAAAAATGTATTAAACGTTTATTACAAATATTTAATCGTAACATTCCATACTTTTGGTTTTTCTTTTTTTTTTCTATTATTTTGTATCTAAAAGAAATTTAAACAATCTACTAAATACTATTAACGAACTTAATACTATATACGAATAAAAGGAAGAAAATAATTGAAAAAAAAATCATTTCTTTCAAATTATTCTGAATAATTATATTTGAAAATAAATCTTAATAACTCGTTGTCAAATGATTTGATTTAAAAAAGCCGAAAATCTTTGTCTGGAGTATCCGAACGAAGAATTCCGTTATCTGTGATGGTTTTCCTGCGTCACTGTCGATGGCATGGGGGATGATGATTTGGAGGGTGTGGATACAAAGAGAGGGAAGAGGGTGTTCGACGCCGGCGCGGCGGGTGTCGTCTCTCGCGGACTAAAGGGTCGCTAGGGCAGAAGAGGAAGGGACGCGTGCAGTTGTCGCGAAACCTTCCGCAAGTATCTGCGTCCTTTCCTGGTGTGTCTCATGGTGTTGTGCATCCCCATGGTGCGTCCTCCTAACTAATTTTCTTACAATTATAATAAGGAGTATTATTCGAACGAAATTACATTTCAACGAGGTTTTTTTTTACTTTTCGTTCATGAAACATTTACTTTCTCTCTCTTTCTCTCTCTCTCTCTCTCTCTCACTCTCTCTTTTTCTATCGCTGTCTCACTTACTCTTTCATCATGCCAAACGATTTTATCTTGGACAACGCCATGAAGTGGACAATTGTTTTGGTAAAAATCTTCAATTTCTTTACTTTATCTTAGAATATTTTGTTTCTTTCTTTCTCACAATAAATTCATTTTCTTTTTGTTTTTTTCTTTCGTATATACCTACGGTTATTTGTATTCGTATTAACGATAAATTTTGGTTCGATTAAGTAGATGGTTAAAAAATATTTGCAAAGGTTAAAATGTTGTTGAACAGACCCCCATCGATGGATACTATTCGATATATTGTTTGTTGTACATTAACTATGCTTTATATCAAAATTTATAATACGCGCGCGCTACTCTTCATTCTCTCCCTCTCTCTCTCTCTCTCTCTTTTTTTATTTTTTCTCTCATGTATATACATACACATACACATACATGCATACGTACATTAGTTTCAGTGAAGAGATGGGCGGGCCGATGGGAATCCTAGTTATTTGAGTTCCTCGTGAGGCGTGTTCCGTGAGATGGTTCCTATCCGTGTCTTCTTGTGTAACTTTTTCATGAGATAGAGAAATAATAATAATAATAATAATAATAATAATAATATTAATAATAATGTAAGTTAAGAAATTCGATAAACGAGACGAATATTTTGTTGCTCGTGTAATACAATGAGAGTTATGTCAATCGATGTTGTTGATCGAACACATGATGATGATTATAATAAATAATAAATATATAATTACGTTTATATGTAATAGTTTTTTTTTTATATATAATAAAAAAGTAAATTATCTAGATTTCTTTTTTCCCTTTGTCTTTTCTTTTTGTTTTTGTTTATTTTGTTTTTATTCTTTCATTTTCAATTATTACAAAATTTATTTTCATTGAAATGATATCGTTTAAAACTGAATGAATCCTTGGGAATACTACTTTATATAAATCTACAGCATCGAACTCACTGTATATGCTAAATAACACGAACACTGTCTCCCACATATTTTTATTTCTTTTTTTTTTGTATTTTTCATGTCTCTCTCTCTCTCTCTCTCTCTCTGTTTTATAATTCTTATCAATTAATCTAATATATAACACGCGATTTTCATGTTAATGTAATAAATATAGTTGGATGAAAGTTTAGTTTTCTTTTTTTTTTCTTTTTAAATCGTCAAACTTTGAAATTTTAAATGCTCGTTAATAATATAAAACACGAACACTAACGGTTCATTAAACACACACGTTCATACTTAAGAAAAAATAAAATAAATTAATAGCAAGGATAGAATATATTTTTTTGCGTGGGTGGTTTATAAATGTAAAGAAGGGTGGAGGGATGAAAGGGGAAATAACTAAAAGTTTGTAGATTATTGGTCCTGTTTTTCTAGCTGACGTCTAGGAAAGTTTGTCGGTTATCGTGATATTCACGGGATGACCCTCCACCTTTGTACGAGCAACGAGAGAAGACAAATCCCCGTGTAAGATATAATCGCGTGATATGTCACGATTTGGATACTGATGTATAATCGTTATACAACTCGAAAATTGTTTCGATTATTCGACGATGAATCGAGAAAACGAAGTGGTAAGTTTCAAACGATCACTTTGTTTTATATAAATAATTTGAAATATAAAAATATAATTAATATATATATAAAAATCATTAAATAATATATATATATATATAATTATTTTATGTATTTTTCTATACAAATTTCAATTCTACGAATAATTTTAGAACAAAATCATTTTGAAGTTGCGATAGAAAGGAGACTCATTCTTTAAACGATTTTCTTTTTTTTATTTCTTTTTTGTTACAATTAATCTACGAGAAACGCGATCGAACATAATATATTTTCCCTTAGGATAGTTAGATCGAAATAGTTCGGTTAACGATGAATTTACTCGATGTATTTACTTAATAAACATTGCGTTGTTCGTGTTATCGATTATATTATACGTCTTGCAGAGTGAAATCGATGATATCGTATAAACAGGATAACTGTATTTTTCTCTAGGTATAGAACATTTTGTTTTCTATTGACAGCAACAACCAGTTTCTCAAACGTTTTGCGGAGCGTTGCAGAAGGAACCGAATTGCAAGTGTTTAGTACTTTCAGTATTGATATATGGATGCCTCGCTGCAGTTACATGGTGTAGATGCGCCAACGTTACCAAGGTACAATTTACAATGAATAATAACATTTACATGTAATATTATATTCGTTAATTGTACGATGTATATGTATTTTTATTTTATCTATTAATTTTCTTATTATATTATAGAATAAATCAAAAGTTCGTGTTTTTTTTTTTTTAAATTAACCAAAGTATTCGATATTAACCAAAGTAACTAATATAAAATGAATCCAAAGTTAATTCGACACAAAACAATCCATTATGTAATTTATATCACAATAAACTACTCACGAGCTTTTGGTGTTTATTATCCTAATATTAAAAAACATATTATATATATATTTCGTAATAAAAGGAAATGTATTTTTAGGTTGTGATCAATTTCTCTAAGTACCTCATCAAAAGTACTAAACACGTGTCTCCCTGTGACGATGGTTATATATATATTCCAGTAGGTATATTATTATACTAGTCATCTATATCCATTATGATTAATGTGCATAATTAATTGGTTGTTTTGTTATTGTAGGTTGCCTTTATGGGAATGCTTTATCTCGTATACCTTGTGGAGTGTTACCATTCCCCGATTAGAATCGATCTGTCCCACGCGGAGAGCCAAGACTGTGTACTCATGAAATTAAATCAACTGAGGCTGGTACAACCTACTATCTGGTGGAAGGCCGTTTCCTATCATTATGTACGTAGGAAACGGCAAATCACCCGATATAGAAACGGAGACAATTATACGACGACTCAGGTAGGACGGGGGTTAGAAAGAAAAAAGAAAACGGCTGCTTTAACAAACAAACAAAACACGAACAAAATAAACGATTCGAACAAACGTTGCGTTTATTATTTCGCCTTAATATGTAAAAAAAAAACATTTGCTAAAAACACGTGTCCCTTTTTTTTTTTCAAGTTAAAAAAAAACAAACGTGACATTACTTACTTACCGTGCTAATTCATTTTCTCGGATTAGGTTTACTACGAAAGGGTTAACACACACGCGGCAACTTCCTTTTATTACTACGATTATTGTGGGGTGAAGGATATCAGCAAGGAACTGGTGCCCGATCAAAAAGTACCTATCACGAAAATTGCATTGACCAAGGGCTTCGCTTTTTCAAACATGAGATCGGCGACTGAGTTCGAGGAAGCCAGGTCAAGGTTCTTCGCTGAACAAGTACGTTACTTCATAATTCATCGAATATAATCGATTTTCAAATGAATTATCTTTGCACTTTCGTTTTCTTTTTCTTTTTGGATAGGAATTAAGGGATGATTATATGGAAATGAGAGAAGGTTTGGAACTTGGTTGTAATCTAAATCCCACTACTTTAGTAGCCGTCCTTGGTAAACCATGGTTTACCAATCGTTACGTTTATTGGTGCCTTAGTGCTCTCCTACTTAGTTGGCCCTTGAGAGTAATCATAGAATACAATACGCAATACGCCGACTATCAGGTAATATTTACAAGGAGACCTTACGGTTGTGCCCTCACTGATTTTAACGAGCTTTGATATATTAGTAGTATACCTTTAGGGTGTTAACGTGCTAAAGTATTTTATCAAAATGCGAAGCCAATTTTGAGAAAAATGCTTTTAAAGTTTTCAATTTTTTGTATACAAATTATCTTAAATGCGACTGTTCTCTGAAGTGGCGCGTTAGCGTAAGTAGTAGCGCTCTCGCTTCTCGTGCTGCTAGTTATTGTTCGATCCCATCTTTGGGAAAGTATTTTTTAATAATTTTTTTAGAAGGATATATAAGATTTATTTTGATTTATTTTTTATATTGTGTGTGTGATTTTGTTGGTTAGGTGACTAAACTATTTGGAGTGAACTATGATACTCCAATAGGTGCCGAGCCAATACGTACTTCCACCAGTCAATTGAGTCAGCCAGGATCCTACATGTTAGCACCAAGTTATAGCGAAGCACTCCTCATGGAACCGGCTGCACGACCTAGCGTAGAAACTCGACAGACCGAAACAGAACCAGGAACCGAATCCGAGATCGATATGGGAATAGTTCCTAGTTATTCGGAAGCTCTACTTTACGAAAGAGCTGAATTAGGAACTAACAATATACCTGGAACTTTCTCATCATCGGTTCAACAAGAAATAAAAGATCTCAGAGTTGAAATCGAACCAACGTGCCAATGTCCTTGTCATACAATTTCTAACGAGTCAGAAAACGTACAAGGAACTAATCCAACCGATCAGATAGAAGATCATCACTCCACTTATGTTACTTTGGATTCTACGTGTATTCCTAGTAGTTCGACGTGCCATAACGATATTACAAATAATCTCGAACCTGTGTCATGTTCGTGTGGTCAACAAAGTCCTTACGCGTGTTCCAATATTACGGACAAAATGAACGTTAACGAAATAATGGTGGTAGATGATGGTGGTGATAATGGTGGTAGAACTATGAAAAAATTAGTTCGCCCTTCGCGAAAATTCAAACGAGATATTTCCGAGCCAAACTTACGATTACGTTCGGAAATAGGTCAAGAAGTAAGTCCTTATCCCTCTACTTCCAAAACAAATTATAAAAGTTTTGAGAATATTTTAGAAGAAGATATTACGAGTTCGTTGAATAACGTTTTTCAAAAGAAATTCGATACTGCATCGAGAAATCATTTTCAAACGATTATAGATGAAGAAGTTTCGCCTATTATAACGAACGAATCTATTGATAACAATGTTATTACTGAATCAAATAATTCCGAATCGAAAGGTGCAATACCTAAAAGATTTGTTGAACAGCAACAGAGTACTTCGCGTTGCAGGGTGACCGTGAATCCAAGGTCCGATGAAGTACGCAGAAAAATACCGGTGTCTAGGACCTATTTTTGTTTGAAATCGATTCTCAAACAAAACAAACGTCGATATACTTTAATGACCACCGCACAGGAATTAGAACACGTTGAGGATTGGGAAACCGTAAGGTTGGATAGAAGTTTCGAGGAACTTCATTTGGATTGCGATAAAAGGAATAACGAGATTGTTCAATTTAACGAGGAAAAATCTCGCAACGCCTGTTTGTCGGGTGACAATTTGAATAACGCATTGAGTTTACGAGACAAAGATAAAGAACATTTACAAAATTCTACCTTTGGGAAAGATAAATCATCACCTACCGAACAAAAATACGATTATGCGAGGTGAATTTTTTTCTGTTACCTACGAATACCATTTTTTTCCTTTTTGTTTTAGAGACAACTCGAATTTATTATATCAGGGTGGAATCAATAGTACATGGCGTTTATTGTATTGAAACTGCAATATAATGGATTACTTTTCAAAGTTATTTCGTAGAAATTTACTTTGGAAATGTTCATTTGCAAAACTGCACGAACTTTTGTTTTTCCATCCCCCTATAATACATTATAAATTTATTTTTCGATTAATTTATATAGAAAATTATTTTTGTATCATTTACAGAACACTCATATTTGCTAGCCCGATTCAAGAAGTATGTCCTGACGATCCGTTCGGTGGTAAAAACGTGGTACCAACGAGAAATCAAAATTATCATAACGAGGAAATATCTTCATCGAACGTTCCAATGTTGGTTAAACTTAGACGATCGTTTACAGAACGAGATGGCATACACAGACGTCACAGAGATATTCGTAAGATTCACAGGCGTCGTACATTTGCCGTTGATGCTGATTATTCGTTTCCATTGGTCGAACCTGAAAATTACGACGCGTCGTCGTCGTCAACGACAACTAGTGGAAACGTATACGTGCCTGGTTACAAAAATGGCGTATCTTTTCCACCTTATGATGGTTTCACCACGACGGCAGATCAACGAAGAACGTTAAACATAACCCAACCGATTGTATTGAATAATGATATTCGTCCTACAACCACCAACGATGGAACTAATTCTTCTTTCGTGGTAAAAGAACATTTTACTGTTGATGATGATGATGATGATGATGATGATGATGATGATGATCAACATCATCGAGAAAATGAAGAAGCTTCTGGTTGGTCGGTTGAAAATAATATTCAAGCAATTAATAATAATAAGAAGAAAAACAACACTACTACTACTACTACACTGACGAGATCATTAACCGAACGAAGAAATAATACGAAGGATGGTCGTCGTAGTTCGAATTTACGAAGAAGCTTCACCGATAGGGTAGACACGATTAATTGCAGATCGATTAATGGTAGACGTACCAACCTTAACATGGAAACCTCGTTGTAACATGTCGATACGATTAGCTCCTTTTGTACTGCGCGCTATGTTCATATACATACTATATATGTATATATATATATAGTAAGGTTGAAGGAGGAAGATGGGGCCTTCTTTAAACAGTAGAATATATAGTAACTAACAATTGTTCTTCGAGATTGTCCGAGTTTTGTCTTCGAACGTTCGATTTTTAAACAGATATTAACAATACAAAAATGCACGATCGTATTTTTTGGGAAGTTAAAGAAAAAGAAAAAGGAAAGAGAAAAAGTCAAGAGAAAAAAAAGAAGAAGAACTTATTCCGTCTTTTTAATGTGCTAAGTTTGAGGATAACGTTATATACGCTTTTCGATTATGCAATGCGAATTAGGTGAATCTTATTGTTAGATAGGAAAATGTCTTCTAATTCGAGATATAATTCGATTAACTCGAATAAAAAAGATTTTTTGTACGACATAAATAAGAGTCACTAATAATTGGCGGTACGAAGTAACGCTGTTGTTTTGCTAATATTGTTGCTGCCTGTTTGGATGCTGTTGCAAAAGCGCAAATGTAACGTTGGTATTAGGGTGAATCAAAAATTCATGCGTTTTTTCCAACAAAAAAAAGAAAAGACAATTCATTATGCAGTTTATAAGACAATAAACGCAGGAACTTTTGATTCAATTATCTAACAGAGATACGAATGAAGAATAATCGCGTGTGCGTATTTTCGAAATAGTGTGCTTCTTGAAATATTAGCTAGGATATACAAAATGCAAATGCGTCGAGTGTCAATTATACGCGCGCACACAGAGTATAATACCGTATATAGTCATTGGCTTTATTGGCATTTGAATTAGGAACAAAATATATATATAGTGCATCGTTGATCACACACATATAATGCACAAGTTAATTAACTCGTAGTCGATTAATTATTATTGACAATTAACATTTAAATTACCGTCCTAAATCTTTCTTTATTACGCGTATTTAATTTAAACATATACCCATACATTCACACGCACACGTACACACGTAAAAATAAGATCCTTTGAAAGCGTCCTCGAATTTTATTCTTGTTACGTCAAAATGTTTCTTCTTTTTTTGTTTTTTCTTTCATTTCTAAAAACGAACGATTATTTTCGAAATTTAATTTTTATATGTATATGTATAGTTTATGTTTGTAAGTTACTGTACACACGTCATCCCATTTTAGAATATTGATTATCGATAAACTCTTTTAAACACTTCGCATTAAATTAACATCATAATCTTGTCTATGTTATTTTCTACAGAATATTCAGATAAGAAATATATAACATGAATATATTCAATGTTTTTTTTTAAGTTAATTACACTTGAGTACACTTTCAAAAGTGGGAACAACAAAAAATATCTTTTCACTTTTTGTTATTCATGTTATTTGTTTCACAAATAAATCATTTGAATAAAGTTTTCTTAATCGTGATCACGATCCGATGCAATCGACCAGGACAAAAATTTCCTTAGAAAACGTAAACACCATACATTATTATTATGATTTTAGTTTAGCAAACAAAACAAAACAAAACCAAAAAATAATCCTATGTACGCGAGCTGTAAAATAAGTTATTTTTTCTACCGATCTCTATTATTATAATAATCATCGTTATAAAAAGAGTTAATCGCCGATGATATTAAAAAAAAAGAAAACAAAAAAAAAGAACAAAAAAGAAATTGCCAAATTACTGATGAATATATTGCATTAGGGCAGAAGAAAAAACAATATTAATTAAACAAAAAGAAAGTGTTTTACACGCAGTATTCATTAATTCGATATTAAATGCCGAATATAAAATATTTTTATCTAATAATAATCATCCACCGAACTTATATATAACTTCGTATTTATGAATATTATTTTAATACCAAAAGAATGTTTGACAAAACGATTTTTAAAACAATCGTCCCAGATAAAAATATTTTCGGCAATATCGTGTTCGTATTAAACGACGTTTAATAATAAAAAAAATAATAAAAAGAAACGATCTTCAACACTAATTTGTTATATTATCGCCGATGTAAGAAAAAAAAAACTGATGTGTGTACTTATGTACAGAATTTATACTTCTTTAGCGTACCAAAACGAATATAACCTGAAAAATAACTTGAATTTGCGCGCGCATCGTAAATATCGACAACTTCGTGGTGTTAATTTTTCGGTCGCATCTAACTTCACTTTCCAAAACGCGCCAAAAGAAGTATAACTTTTTTTCTTTACATAAGTACATGACAATGGATATAAAAATCGTTCGAATTATTCCAATTGCATATTAGCGCATAATATTATATTATGTACGAGTCATGAAATATTGGATAACGATCTTATAAAAACAATTCGACGATTCCGATTTTGTACAAACTATTAAGAAAATATAAAACAAAACGAAGAAAAGATTTAGAATCGGAATTGATAATACGGTACAAATTTCGTTCGTGTTTTTAATCGAACGGACACAATGCCATTTATAATTCCTACAATTATTTTTATGCAAAAGACCAAATGTGCAAAGTTTTCAAAATATTACCATCTAATAATATATATATATATTATATAATATATATGTATACAGGATGTTCACAAAATGATGAGTGTTTTAAGATTTAGGTAGTGTATTATCTAACTCATTAAGCTTAGTAAGCATTTTTTCGGTTGTATTCATCCAAAATATCGTTTACTCAGCTTAATGAGTAAAATATTATCTTTCTAATTTCTGGAACACTTTTATTTTAATACATCCAGTATCTATACGATTATAAATATATAACGACATCAAAGTTATTGAAAAAAGTAACGCGACAACAAGATCAACAACAGGAACAACAATACACAGAATTTAGTTTTCTGCGAAATACATAGTCTTCTACAACAACGCATATAAAGTGATAAAAGAGAAAGAGAGAGAGAGAGAGAGAGAGAGAGAGTTTTTAGGTGTTATTTGTAAATGATTTTACGCGCACGCGTCTTTTAAAATTATGCATTATTATAAACGTTTGAAATTACGATGCTTATACGTATGTGTATTTACGGATATAATTATAATAACAAAATTAAACAAATACGAGCAGTTAAATATTAACGTAATTTTAGGCTTAAAATTAGTTTTATTTGCGACAAGCCAATAATTATTGTATAGGTATATATATATGTATATATAGTATACTATGTATATATACATTATCGCATTCACGTAATTATTCGAAATATTTGAAATTGACAAAATTTGACATAAATTATTTCGCTTTTTTTTTTTTTACGAAACTTTCAATTATTTTAAATTATTTTTTAGCAAACAAGTAATATACAGGGTGTCCTGTAATTGGTGGTATAAGCAAGGAAGGATTGATTTTACGAAAATATAGAATAAAATTAGTTTTATGTGTAAACAAATTGTTTAGTTCTATAATTGTAAACTTAATCAATTGTCTCGTAATTATTTCGAATAATTTGTTAAATATAATAGGACTCGTTCGAATATTTAAGATACGATAATGTGTATACATATATATTTATAATGTTTAAAAATGTGATATATAAACAATCCTGTACTAGTTTGGTGGTACATAATTGAAATAGTGCAGCGTCGCTTTTTTAAATTACGCACAATCATGTGGACGAAGTAGAAAATTATATTGTATTCCCCGCCCGTCAAATAATTGTTAAGCATTTTTTAAAATCGATTCGAAAAGGAATATATAATCATAAAAATGTGGCAGGTATTAAAAATATTACGCGTGGGTGTGTTTTCTTTTTGTTTTTCCTTCGTGTAAGTACAATGCAAATGTAATATAAGAATAGGATAGAAAAAAAAAAAGAAGAATGCCTTTCAAGCCAATTAAATTGAACATTTTGTTGATAAAATGAATTTCTATCTTAATTAGTACAGTAAACAATTAATGACAAAAAAACTCTATTTTTCTTATTGGCAATGAATATAATAAGTGATCTCACATATATATATATATATATCTACATGTATAATGTGCATTAATGTGCACAGAATAAAAATTATTATTATACATTATACGATGCCGTTAAGATAATAGCAAGTAAAGCTTGATTGTAAGAAAACACGCGGTTAAGTGCATAACGTGGCAATATAGAATTAGAATAAAAAAAAAAAATAGATCATTCACATACAAGAGTTTCTTTTTTTATATATTCGATATTTAAAATAATGTCGAATGGGGTTGTACTTGTAGGATCTTGTTTTACAAGAAAATTGATAAGTCGATGATTAGAAAGGGAGAGAGAGAAAAAATAATAAAAAATTAACATAATTCGCGTGATTGTTACAGTTCATCTAATAGCAGACAATCTAATAACGTATTTTGCCGACGAGCGGGGAAGTTTCGTTATTTAAAAAATAAAAAACAAACAATGTATTACCCATACCGTCTTAAAAAAGTGCTCTTCTAATCGACAAACTGTGTTTTAGAGCAAAGCTGATACGTGATAAATAGAAAAACGTTAGGGTGCAAGAAAATATATTGTAATAAGCGTGCTTTTTTTTTCTTTTTCTCTCGAGATATAATGCATCTGTAACTAACGTGATTCTCTTGCTATATAAAATATAGTAGTATTATTATATTATAATGTTATTAATGATATACAGTGAATTATACTACTGGTGTAAAAACAAACTATGGTTATAATATAATAAACGTTGAAATATTTAAAAGTTACTGCTCCGAATTTATTTTTCTTTAGGTACTGCGAAAGCGTAATATGTGAATAAACGATAATACATAATATACTTATATTATATTTCTCAGAGGAAAAAAATAAAAAAATAATAAAAAAAATAAACAAGAAAAAGAGAACATGCAATGATTTGCGTAAAGCCACAAAATGCGATGCATATTAAGCGTACCAGAATTATATCTTCTTTCCTGATTATTAAACAAATTATATATGGTTCACACAGCATTCATATTCACACTCGCGCACGTACACACACACAATCGCACGGAAATGTAATACCATTTAGACTGTGCATTGTGAAACTATCTTTTCTGACATTTTTATTTTTTTTTTTCCGTAATTCTAAATCTTTTTGATGCAATCAACATAGTAACAAACACATTCATTGTTCTTGTGCTAATTTTTCTTTGTTTTTTTTTTAAACAAAATGTGTCTTACGTAACTATACAATAAACATCTATATCAATAAACGTCTTATGCCTGCGGATACGTTAATAAATTAAAAGATTTTTCTTTTCTTTTTATAATTTTGATTGGATAATTTATAATAAATGTATATAAATATAGAAATTTAAAACTTCAGGTAGCTGTAGAGGGGCCACTGAAAAACAGAGGATTTATTCGAAATCTAAATGTCGTTTTCAACAAATCAAAAAAATATAAGTAACAGGGTTAAAAGTGGCAGAATCTACGTATCATATTTAAATATACATGCAGCAATATTAAATGTTTATTAATACAGATTTCTTTTCTTTTTTCGTAGTTCTCTTTTTTTTTTTTTTTTAATTTTCTTTTCTTCTTTTTTTTCCATTCAACATCACTGATTAACCTATAGTAGGCGGGTACGAATACTAATTTTTAT